GATGCAGCTCATGAAAAAAAAAATTTACCTTGCTATATAGCAGGTGAAAGGGGAGAGAGAAATCAGCCTTTGCATGAAGTGTGCCGCGGGTGCTTGAATGCCTCTCCCTCCCCACCTAGATCTGGGTGTTCTAGGGTACAGGCAGAGGGCAGTGTTTCCTCTGCAGAAGCTGCTCAGGGTGCACTGAAGGGCACCTAAGGAGGCCTGTTGGCAGGGGCATGGTGTCCATAAATCCCAACAGGCAGAGAAAATGAGTTATTCACAGTGAAATTTTCTGGACCTTTTGACAGTTTGCTGCCTTTTTGAAAAGGTTTGTGGGGGACAGGGTTTCCCTCTCATAGGCTGAACAACAATGGCATGACCTTGACTCACTGTAGCCTTGACCTCCTAGACTTAGGCAATGTTCCTGCCTCAGTTTCCTAAGGAGCTGGGATGTGCCACCATGCCCAGCTACCGTTTTTTTTTTTTAAGTAGAGACAGGGTCTGTGTTACCCAGGCTGGTCTGAAACTCATTGACTCAAGGGATCCTCCTGCCTCAGCCTCCCAAAGGGCTAGGATTCCACTGCTCCCAGCCCTTTTTTGCAGTTTGACTTAAAAATAACCTTTTTTTTCTCTTATACAATGACTATTACAGCTCATAGGCCATTTACTAGCTTGTTAGTCATTCTTTTATGTCACCAAAGCTGCATGTAACCCACACTTTTCCTATTGCAGCAGTATAACTTCAAGGTTTACAAATTAATGTCCTAGGATCTTAGATCTTAGAGCAAATGCGGAGACATGAGTGATGTTCGATTTGGGTTTGCCTCAAGTTTGCAAATTTTATGAAAGATCCCAGGTTGAAATAAGAGGGGCTTGCTTCAGCCTTTGGAAAAGAAAACATTCTGGGCATACTCAGCCCACTCCACTTACTTAAAGAAACTTAGAACTGATATGAATGAACTCTTAACCTCTATTTACATCCACCAAGCTGCCTTGAAATGTGCCTTGGTCGTATGTACATGTTGTGATTATTGCTTACTGGGGAAAAGCTGGCGTTCTTTGTTGTTGCCGTCTAAGAGTGGAGCAGATGGTCGTCCGCTTCATGGAAAAGAACCTGACTGGACCAACTATGGGAAATGCAAATTTGGAGCTTTCTTGACATTGGTCTGATTTTTCCCCTGTAGGAGAACTGCGACACATCACCAAGCTGAAGCCCTGGAGTCTCTTTGATGTACTTGTGGAAAAGTATGGCTGGCCCCATGAAGATGCTGCACAGTTTACAGATTTCCTGATCCCGATGTTAGAAATGGTTCCAGAAAAACGAGCCTCAGCTGGTGAATGCCTTCGGCATCCTTGGTTGAATTCTTAGCAAATTCTACCAGTATTGCATTCTGAGCTAGCAAATGTTCCCAGTACATTGGACCTAAACGGTGACTCTCATTCTTTAACAGGATTACAAGTGAGCTGGCTTCATCCTCAGACCTTTATTTTGCTTTGAGGTACTGTTGTTTGACATTTTGCTTTTTGTGCACTGTGATCCTGGGGAAGGGTAGTCTTTTGTCTTCAGCTAAGTAGTTTACTGACCATTTTCTTCTGGAAACAATAACATGTCTCTAAGCATTGTTTCTTGTGTTGTGTGACATTCAGATATCATTTTTTTGAATGAAAAATACTTTCCCCTTTGTGTTTTGGCAGGTTTTGTAACTATTTATGAAGAAATATTTTAGCTGAGTACTATATAATTTACAATCTTAAGAAATTATCAAGTTGGAACCAAGAAATAGCAAGGAAATGTACACTTTTATCTTCTCTCAAAGGGACATCATTCCTGTATTATAGTGTATGTAAATGCACCCTGTAAATGTTAATTTCCATTAAATATGGGAGGGGGACTCAAATTTCAGAAAAGCTACCAAGTCTTGAGTGCTTTGTAGCCTGTGTTGCATGTAGCAGACTTTAACTGCTCCAAGGAGTTGTGCAGACTTTTCATTCCATAACAGTCCTTTCACATTGGATTTTAAACAAGGTGGCTCTGGGTTGTGTCATTCTCTGTATGGCACTTGAAAGGAAGAAAAGATATGCTTCTCACTTTAAAATATGCATTATAATTTAGCAGTCCCATTTGTATTTTTGCATATTTTTAAAAGTACTTTTAAAGAAAAAGAGCGATTTTCCTTTAAAAATGTGATGGCTCAGTACCGTGTCATGTTGTTCTGTAAGTTAAGCTCTACGTAGATTAAATTGGAAAAGAGAAATGTGTTCATTTGTGGAATGAAAAAATACATATATTTTTGGAAAAGCATGATCATGCTTGTCTAGAACACAAGGTATGGTATATACAATTTGCAGTGCAGTGGGCAGAATACTCCTTAAAGCTAAAAGGTAACTGATCATATTCATTCCATAGGTAGCTTTATGTGTGGCTACAACAAATTTTACTAGCTTTTTCATTATCTTTCCAGGAAATGAAGTTGAGAAAATGATTTTCCCTTTGCAGGTTGCACACAGTTTTGTTTATGCATTTCCTCCTTAAAATTAATTGTAGAATCCAGGACACAAACCATAGTAGGCAATACAATTTTAGAATGTAATATATAGAGGTATATTTAGCCTCTTTTAGAAGTCAGTGGATTGAATGTCTTTTTATTTTAAATTTTACATCATTAAGGTGCCTCGTTTCTGACTTTGTCCAATTAACATTTATCCATATGCCTTTGCAATAACTAGATTGTGAAAAGCTAACAAGTGTTGTAACAATAATCCATTGTTTGAGGTGCTTGCAGTTGTCTTAAAAATTAAAGTGTTTTGGGTTTTTTTTTTTCCAGACATTGCCTTGGTTATTGCCCTATGTGACAGAATCAATGAACATTTGCTATCAGTTTAGTGTCACTAAAACTTAAAATACCAGCATTCCTGTTGCAGCAAATGTAGTTATAGAACATGCATTAATTCTTATTATAAGGAAATTATTTATTGTTTTTTAAGGGCAGAAGGGATTTAGGAGAAAAGCTACAGTATAGATTGATTATCTAGAATTTCAGTGATCCCTTTTCACCCATGGTTCATCAGAAACATACTAACTGCATTTGTTTGGTCATTGATTGCAAACTTAAAAGGGCATTATTCCCTGTTAGGGAACAAGACACATAACCCTCTTAGGAATTGCCATTATATCACATACCACTGTGAGGTAGAATATATACCATTCATTCATTTCTTTATGGAATGGGCATGCTAAGTTTTTCTAATGAGGCTGTAGGTTTCCATGTAGATTCTATGATAGATGGTGGCTGTAGAATCCGTGATTTCTGTAGGAAACCATAGAGCACAATTTATATCTTCCCTAAGTGTAGAAGGATTTTTATCAGGGTGATAGTATACTTGAATGAAATTTGTCTAATGCAGTTTTTGCTCATGCTGGAAAATAAAATAGATTATGAATTTTAAGGGTGTGTCCCTTATGATAAAACAGCCCAACTGGTTTATAATACAGAAACAATTGTTCTAGGACTATGTATTTGTATTAGGCATAATATGGTTTCATCAGATTCTTGGTGGTTTGTTGATAAAGAATGCACAAAAACTAAATGAGAACCACTGGTTATGCTGAACGTTATAACCAGCTCTGACTTTAGTTGAATGTCCTGTTTTTTCCTTTCTGTAGTCCATGTGAAATCTTCATGGAAAATGACAAGCAGTGGATCACATATGTGATTATAGCAGATAAAGGAGCTGGCTATCTGGAAATTGGCAGACAGAACTGCCCAAAGGCAGAGAAAAGGTGGATATAAGATCTTCAAAAAGTCATAAAGTTTTTAGGTGAAAACTGATTTACTAACTTGCTTCTTCCCATGACCTGGACCATACATAACTAGTTACCATGATAAAATAAGGAGCCTTTCCATTGGAGAAGAGAATTTCAGTTTGTATCCATAGTTCAGATTATTTCCTAAATTCCACTTTTTTCTCCCCTTTTAAATAACTTGAATGAAATTTTGGTAGAAGACCGTATTTGAGGGTATATACTTAATCAAGGAATTAAATTATATAAGATTCTGCAGTTAACACAAAAGCTTCTATATGCATATTTTCTGTAAGGCAAATTTCAAACCAGTGAAGAATTTAAAATACGTAGGACAGACCTTTTAAGAAGAATATTTATATTTCACATGCTAGTCAACTTTATTCTTTTTGAAACTATCAGGATAGATGTAAAGCCATTTCTTCTCAGACAAATGTTTCTTTACTAAATACCATCATTAGAATTTTGTTCTGACAAATGGAGGATGGCAGAGTTGACCTATGTTCTTCTAAAACTTGAAGCTGATTAGGATTGAGCCCTAAATGAGCTGTGCTAATGTACCATCACTAGCTAACTATCAAAAGGAAATGGAAATTCAAAGTGTAAAACATGACTGAATGAGATCAGTCATTTTAGTGTTTCCTTTTTTCTGATGCACAAAATTTATATTGTCTTGTGCCAGATTATGTCAGGTAACTGGATGATGAAAAATGTGTTGATAAACAGTGTTACTACTATTTGATGTACTTACTGAATCCTCCTCAGAGGTAGAAGACAAAGGCTAAGAAATTTTAATTTTTCCAGGATTAGAACTAGTATTTTATATTTTAGCAATAAAAAGGTATCACTTAAGAGGCCATTTTCATGTCACTGAAAGATCAAGGAAAAACGCCTTTTTTCTTTAGTTTTGTTACACCCAAGACAAATTTTCCTGTTTTAGGCAAACTACCCACATTTTCAAACAGTTGTTGTACACTGTATTCAAGAACTACTGTGTGTAATGCATTAGCGGTCTGGATTCATTTTGTATGATGCCAGATCCTTAATTTCCCCAGCACAATCATTTAAGTAGTTTCTATGGCTCTTGCACAAATGGCAAACAGGGAGCACCACAGGAACAACCCCTTGCTGCCTCCGGTTATTAGTCACTACAGAAAACTGAAGGCTTCTTAGAAACACTTACACAGACCCTGAACTTAGAAGCTGTACAGGACAATTTGGTAAAACTGACATAATTGTGATTTATTAACATGAATTAAAATGCCCAACCAGTGCTTCAATGTGACAGTATATTTAAAACAAAAAAGAAATTAAAGGTCATATACTGTACTACTTTCACAAAGATCACACAGTTTTGCAAAGACGTGTCATATGTACAATGCTATATATCAAATGAGAAAAGCTGTAAGCAATTATATATGCAAAAGAAATGCAGTATTTACAGTTTGTCAGGAGACATTAGAAATCATCTATACATTAAATTACATTTTGCTTGCAAATAACTGGTAAAACAAAATGAGCCATGTCCACACCAAAACATAAAAATCTGTTATTGCATTTTTATACCTAAGATGCATTCACAGAACTGCTGCTGACAGGAAAGAAAAAAGGAAAAAGAAAACCCTCATAGTGCCATTAGTTAGCTGTGTACTTAATGCATATGTATAAAATAATAGAGAAAACATTCACTAAATGAATTTAACTGCAACAATAAAATTTAAAGATCATACAGCGTTGAATCTACTGCCAGAAAAAAACAGCTGGAATGTTCACTTACAAAATAAAGATACCTAATACTGGCTTAAGAGCACATTTTTAAAGGAATTTTAAAAAGCAAAAATGAGAAAAATACAATGAAAGAGCACTGGTGTTTTTTTATACAAAGGTTCATGTACAAGCTTTAAAAAGTACCTTAACAGGTACATATGAAATATACAGTTTATCTTACAGAACATTTAAAAAAATGTTTTTGGAGTCCATTTTAATGCCACCCTGATCCATGGTAATTGTTTTGAAATGTTGGTGGCACCTGTGCTCTGTGAATTGGAATCTGTCCAGGCACTGGAGATGCCTGCTGAGGTCCTTGAACCCCATGTGGCAGGGCCACAGAGCCAGGATGAGGACAGAACCCTGAAGCAGAAGGTGTTGGAATACTGTTTGGTCCTTGGGGCTGGAGATGAGGACCTGCGACAGGTAATGGACAATGTGGCCCTGTTCCAGAAGGCTGGTGCTGGGGTCCCGGTCCCAAAGTGTTATGATGTGTAGCTTGTGAGGGATACGGAGGTACAGCTGGATGAGCACTTGAAGGAAAAAGTGGAGGTCCTTGATGAGGTGGGTGGTGTAAGGCTTGAGCTGATGTGGTATGATGCCCAGAAGCCAAACACTGGAAGGTGGCGGCGGAGGGGGAGGTGGGGGTGCTGAATTTACAACATGCTGGTGTTGTGCTTGTAGACCTTGGAGTCCTGTGGAAGGATGGGGCGGTGGATGGTGATGAGGGGCGGGAGGGGGTGGGGGGTGGGGGTAAGTGGTGTCCAGCAGTTTGAGAATGAATATGCGATCCAGGAGTGACCGCATGAACAGGCCCTACTACATGTGCTACAGAGTGTTGCTGATGGGAATTCGGCTGTTGTACAAGGTGTGGTCCTGGAGCAGGCGGTGGTGGAGGTGGTGGGGGGACTACGGCAGCAGCAGCAGTTTGATGGTGAATGGTGGGGTTCTGAGAGGGCAAAAAATGCCCTGGAGTAAGGTGTCCTGGAACTGGCTGTTGACTTGTGGTACCAGGAAGTGCTTGATTTGGTCCTGATGTAAACACAGTTTGTTGAGAAAGACTACCTTTGAGCTGATTATAATTCTGAAAGTTAGCAGAGGGCTGCTGGTTTTGATAGTAAGTCGAAGAAGAAGGAGGTGGAGGAGGTGGTGGGGGGTGGTGCCGTGCTATTCAGACTTTGTTGGTTAAACTGACTATAAGTTGCTGAAGATTGTCCTGAGGGTGTCTGTGTAAATAATGCTCCAGAAGTTGCCTGCTGAGTATTGGCTGGAAGGTTCTGTGCTGCTGGATAAAAGTTTCTCTGAGGCTCTCGCTGAGGTGTTCCAACTTGAGGTGACTGTGAATGATGAGGCCTGTAGGGAGATCCTAACTGCTGTGAAGGAGGCTTTGGTGAAAGATAACCATGCTGTACAGGTGTGTGAGGCGTAGATGACTTTGGAGGATTTTCTAGGTGAGGTGATGGAGGACAGTGCAACTTTGTTGGTGCAGAAGGCAGTTCTGTGAAAGTTGCTCAGATGAATTACGAACATGTGTCTGAGGAGGATGATTCTTTGAAAGTGCTTGGCTGTTATTTGATAGCTGTTTTTGTTGGAGCTCTGTTTTTAGGTGAACACCATTTTCAGCTTCTGATGCAGTAACTGTGGTGTCCCACTGGGAATCCGGTTTTGTGAGTATTTTTCCGTGTGCTTGAGCGGGAATGACAGATCCAGGTGAAGCAGGCTATGAAGAGAAAACAAATGATATACGTATAAGGAACATTTTGTGTACTTTAAGGTTTATTCTTGTTGGTATTTAATATGATCTAAATATTAATTTTAATGTGGGGCAGGAAATAACATGCCAGATACGTCAATTATGGAGGCTTAGGATGTTAAAAGGCCAATATTTTCCCATTGTTCCAACAAGTTCTGAGAGTATGCTTACAGTGAATTCTCTGGGTTAATTTTTATTGAAGACAAGTTGAGGACATAATTTACTCTGCCTTTTTTCCTTAAGCAATGAAACCTGTTTTTGAGCCTTACTCTGAAAGAACTCCAATAGCAAGGTTCAATTTTATAATTGAAATTTCTATACCCACCTAAGGATAAATTGATGTGGGTAAATAAACTTGCTCCCTCAAACCATTTTGATTTTTAATACCTTTTTCATTTTCCTTATATACTGTTCAGATATAAATAAACCAAGTATAAGACTGCTTAAATGTCTATCATCAAAAAAAGAAATCTCAGATTCCTTTTCTTTAGTTTCCAACGATATACATGCCATACTAGATTATTACATCTTCGTGATCCAGGATGGAGATGTCATTCCTTTTAAATGATAAATTGACCTTTTGTTTTTACATAATTGGCTGGTCAAGAATTTCACAACAAGGCTATGAATTTCCTAGACACCACTAGAATAGAGGTAGAACATGTGAAGAAAACATAAGCTGTCGAAGTGTGCTTAGAAAACTTGAGTTCTCCATCACAGTTCAGGAAGAGAGAACAAACAAAGTAGTAAACACAATTGAATACGTCTGACAGGAAAGTGTCCAGAAGTCACAAGCTGATACTCGATACAGCAGAAAAACACTGTATATTGTAACCAGCAGCTTTTTTGCACTCAACCTGAGTCCTTTGGAACCCATCAAAAGGTCAATCTTATCATTACCTTGCTCATTTTTGAAGGACTTCTACAAGTATTTTGAGAAGTATCTGGGGATGGACATTCATTTATACTTGCAGGTGGTTCTGGATTTTCAGGATCAGGGTCTGTAAAGCAGAAGAAACCTATAAATAGTAAGTGTAAAATTACACGATAAACATGGTGTTTACACCACAAAGCAACAACGTTCTATTCAAACCGACTTTTTATAAATGCTCTCTCGTCTGATTTTAAAATGTTTAAAAGAGTAACATTATCGGTCATCTGCTTACTGACCTTCCATAAGTTCACTGAAAGAAGGGACTGGGCCCTTAACTTGCAACTGGGGAATGTGATTTGAATGAGATGAGGGTGAAGACTGAACATGACTCGGTGAACATGAGACACATGGTGATTCTCCCCCTAGAGATGAAGCAGAGCAGACCCAAAGAGAACATTAGAGCTGCAAAGAACCAGGATGAAGAGTGATTAACCGACTCCACTTTCTGGTGAAGGAACAAGCTCACTTACCACTATCTTTATCTTTTCGGTGATCACTGAGAAGTAACGCTCTCTGGTAACTCCTTTCTCTGACTTGTTCCACCGATGTTGAGGCAGTCCTTTAAAAGAAAAATCACAGTATCCTCTATTGAAAGAAGCTACTGCTAGCTGCATTCTTCATTGCTTCATAGTCAACATGTACTGTTCAGACCGAGGCTTTTGCTCTACTGGGAAAATAACTTTGCTGTTATCCTTTGGAAACAGTTAATCTTCTCTTACTTTGCTGGCGGTGCCCAGAATTGAGATTGTTATCCTTATTCGAAGGACTCAATTCCTTTGTTGCCAGCAATTTACTGGCAAGGAATTGAAGATAATGTATTAACATTCAGAATGTCACTTCCGGTTACCAAAGGTATCAAAACATGCCCCTAACAAACTGCTGTCAGGATTGCAAGCTTTCAGGTGGAAGGGGGACTAAGGAGCAAAGTGTGTGGCTACCTGCCCTTTGCCAAAATCCATCCTATATGCAGCTGCTCCTACTCCTTCTAAAGAAGCACTAAACCTAAGGTTGTTCTTTCAAGGTAACTGGTAGGGGTTATAAAGGAAGTCAGCAGGATTGTTAAAAATTCTTTGGAGAGGATATTTGTGTGTAAAGTATGAATGAATTACCAAGGAATAAATACAATAGACCTTTAACAACACAGGTAATACACAGCTGGCTTAAAATCCCATTCACAGAGAACATCTTTTAAAATCGTGACCACAAAGCACTATCTGCTTAGCCTTGGGAGAACAACAAATGGGAAGAATATTTCAACAAAAGCTTGTTTTTTCCAGAGCAGCATACTTCAGAATGGACTTACCACTGAACTTCTGGTTCATTCTTCTCACTGGCAGCAGCATCCTTAACAGGGCAGTTATTGCTAGTTTCTTCAGAAGTAGCATTATAAACTGTAGCTGGTGTTAGTAAAGGGAGGCTAGCAGTATGTTCTACTTGCTCCCCATTCTCATTACTGCTGGCACAGCCATCACTATTGTTGCTCAAGCTTCCACTTGCATGGGGTGATACACTAATGAGTGGAAAGTTCTCTGTCTTAGAGCCACTTTTCCTAGCTTCACGTTGTCTCTTACGGTATTCTAACAGAGAAACCTTAAGCAAGAAAGAGAAGAAAAAGCAATCTTTTATTCTTGTTTTTAATGTCAGAACCAATGCATTCTTTTTTCTAAAGAGAATTAACTATATTTACATTAGGAAAATTATTTTAATTGATTCTGAACAAATAATTAACAATTATCAAATGCCTACTATATATATTCCAGGCATTGTATTTAGATGATTTACATATGTTATCTCATTTATCCTCACAACAACCCTATGAAATAGGTATATTATCATCCCCATTTTACAGATGAGGAAATTGAGTAACTCACTCACTCAAGGTCAGACAGCTGGTGAGTGTTGGAGCCGGGATTCGAACCTAGGTCTTACTTGAAAGCCCGTGCTCTTTCCACTATACTACATTGCTTCCCACATAGTTGCCAACTGGACTCTGTTATAAAAATTAAAAGCACACATCACGAAAATTCTTGGACTTGCAAAGCAATAAGCCTACTAACAAAATAAGTGCTATAGTTTATCTTATTCTTTTGAAATAAGGCATTCTAATTATCTCAGTATGTCTGCCAACCAAATAATGGTGGGAAATCAGGGAATTAACAATACATATCTATTAGTAAAATAAAAACACTCTTACATTCATGATCTATAGACATTATGGATGAGGAAAGAAGCATTTCCTCTATACAGGGTGCTTGCTCTATGTACAATAAAGTTAATAATGCAAATATTATTCAAGTCTGCTTTTTGGGCGAGGGGGCGGGTTGGGGAGTGCCTAGTTTTAAAAACTACTCATTAGATGAAATAAATCATCTTGAGATTTCTCTCTCTGAAACCATGCTGCTTACAAGGATTTCCCATATCACTAGAATTTTTTACTTTTCTGTAAATGTTTTCTAATTAATCCAGCATTTACAAAAGTTTAAAAATACAGAAATGTAACTTGAATAACTAAATTAAGAATGCCTTACGTAACATATCTAACTACCAATTGCCCTCAGTAGTAGTATGAAAAAAACTATTAAAAGGACTATAAATTGTTAAATTTGTAACCTTTTTCTTTTGTGGTGGATTCTGGGGTGTGCAACTCCCGTCGATCAAATTGTCATTAACAGTCCGTCCGAAACCAGATACAAGCCCATCTTCGGAAGTACAAAACACAGTTGTTTCCATAAACATGCCTCTAGTATCATCCTGCATCAGGCACTTTGACTCACTTATTCGGAAGCCTCCTCCAACCTCCAACTGATGCGAGGGTGTCAGGTCCCTCAAGTTGGAGTTCACTGAGAAGTTAACTCCTGTTCTGTCAGGGCTCTTTACCCAGGAAGAATATATTGTGCCCCGTCCAGAGTGAGTCGAGTCCAGTTGGCTGTTGGGCTCAGCCCTGTCATGTGCAGGCATTTCCATGGTTTTTTGTAAGGCAGTTGGCTCAACTGCATCAAGTCCCAGCTGAAGATCTGACACAGGTTCCTTTTCTCCAGGGCACTGCCTGCTGACTTCAGTCCTACTCCTAGGGCTCGTATAACCAATAGTCTTTATTTCTTGCAGACCCAGTTCAGTTAAATTGGAATTTCTAAAAGGCCCCAATGTTAACATCGTTGAAGATCTGTCATATCCCTGTTTACAGAATTAAAAATAATAATACACACACACATATATACATATATATATACACATACACACACAAGTAATCACATCCTGGGAATATTTACTTTAAATTTACCAGTAATTTAAGCAAAACAATAATAGGAAAACTATCAATTCACCCTTTTTAAGTTAACTTCTTACCTCTTGACTATAAGTGCGTCTCTTTATTTCTGGAGAACTTTCTGGGGAAGAAATATTCTGTATAAAAGAAAGAATTAGAGTTGAAAATTTAAAAATACATAGTATATATCCATAATAGTTACAGAAATGAAAACAAAATGAAAAACCAGTCCACAGACTTTGGTTTTACATACTCTTTCCTGTTTATTTGCATTCCCCAAATAAGATATTTGCTTTCACATTTGATACAATCATTTAGTCTACCGTGTATATCAATAAGATGAAAGTTACGCTCATTTTAGTAATAAAAACATCTAAATTCATATAAATGAATTTTCCTGATTTTTAGTTTCTTGCAAACTTTTTGTATTCTCAGCATACTAGTTGTTAAAGGAGGGGAAAGAGCTCTTAAAGAAATCCCATCCCCCCAGGTGTTGAATTTTTCTTTCTCCATTAAAATTTCTCACCTCAAAGTGCATGGTATTTCCTGGTGTACCAGGAGTTACTGGGGTAACTGGTGAATATATGGGTTTATAACCATTTCTACAAGTTTCATCATCTGATTTTATCCGTGGAGGCGTGGCAAAAGATGGGTCCATAGGAGTAATATCGGTGTGAGTTGGTGTAGCATACGGGGAAGGTGTAGGTGTGGAGGTTTCTGAGTAAACCGAATCTAGCAACTGATAAAATCTTCGTTTTTTTAGTGGTGTAGTTAAATCTGTTGGTGAAATAATAATCTGTAAGAAATTACACTGCTGCTATTTGTTAAAATCTGTACATGTCACATTCTGGGAAAGGTAAAATATAAACAACAGCAATTATGACTTTCACCCCAAAACTAAATTTCAAGGTTTCTAAAAAATGGTACTAACGTGAAGCAGTCCCCGCCCCCTCCCCAATTAGCAAGCATTATCTTGCCTGGAGGGATTACAGGCCTAGGGGTTCTCAAAGCATCTTATAAGTACTGATGTTACTTTAACTGATTTTGAGTCCTTGTCTGTCTGAAAAGCAGCCAGTCCAAAAGCCTTTAAAAATTGATCATCCCCAACATACATGGTATTGTGAACTGGCATCGTCATCAAAAAAAATACAGAGGAGAGAAAAGAGAAAATCTAGACAACAATGAGCTTCTCTTCTAAAGTGCATACCGGTAACTAGAATATGCCTGTCATAAAGCTATACATAATATATGCCCTGCCACATTTCTCAGACTAAAACAATACTGGAAAAAAAAAAAAATCTACCTGGAAGGGAACAGCTGTCATTTAATAGTAGTGGACTTTTATTTTCACCATTGACTGCAGGACTTCTGGATCTTTCTTGACAGGGTGAATTAAACCTATATAAAATTGCTGAATTTTCTTCTTCCAGAGCTTGTTTCAACCATCGCTGAATAAAATAGAATAATACATGAATAGGAATCAGTTTGTAGCTGTTTATATAGCCTGTAAAGACAGAGCCAATTCCAAAACATTTCACTAGCATGGAAGGTAGTAAGGAGTGAATTGGCATTTGGCTCATTCTACATTTTTACTTCCAAAGAAAAGTTTACCTTTTTGCATGAACCAGAAATGTTTTCAGTAGGTTCTTTTCTTCTCCTTTTTTCTGAAAGGAATGGTGAAGTAAATCTAATATAATGCTTAGGAGTAGAGTATACATGGGGACTGTAGGTGAGACCTGGTAAAGAATTGAGCTGTGTAGCTAACACTTCAGGATCTGTAGTTATGCGTAGAGGCCTTTCTGAAAGGCCATCTGAAGGTTTTCCTGTCTTCTCATTCTTCTCACTTAACCATTCATTGACCAAGTGCTAGAGAAAGAAAAAATCTGGATCATTATAAATGTAATTCCAAATTCTCCTACTGAATATTCTAGTATCAGATTTGAAATTGGCATATTATCTAAAATGATAAATTGTGTAATTTAAATCATATATGATGTTCAAAAAACCAGTATGTCATTTTACATTTCCTTGGTTATTCTGATATTGTTTACACAGTATGTTGTAGAACAGAACATATGGTAGCTTTTTAAGTGTTTATATTACATGAAATTTATATTACTTTTTTCTTTTGAAACAAGGTCTCTGTTACCAGGCTGGAGTGCAGTGGTGCAGTCTTGACTCACTGAAGCCTCCGCCTCCTGGGCTCAAGTGATTCTTCCACTTAAGCCTCCCAAGTAGCAGGAACAAGGCGCTCACCACCACGCCTGGCTAATTTTTTAAAATACTTTTTAGAGAAAGATCGGCTATATTGCCCACGCTGATCTCAACTCCTGGGCTCAAGCATTCTTCCTGCTTCAGCCTTGCAAAGTGCTGTGTTTACAGGTGTGAGCCACCGTGCCCGGCCATGCTTTTAATATAGTAACAACTAGAGACATATCAATACCATTTCATTAAACACACCAAATTTGGGTGTGTTTAAACTACTATTTCTATCATAGGTATAAAATGTTCCATCAGTTAGAAAAATCTGATTTTAGGCAGTGTTTTTCTACACTAGCTGCCCATCAGAGTCTCCTGGAAATGAGGACAGGACACAGTACTTTTCTTTTTTGAGACAGGGTGAGTTGCTCAGGCTGGAGTGCAGTGGTGTGATCAGGTCTTACTGTAGCCTCAACTTCCTGGGCTGAAGCCATCCTACCACCTTAGCGTCCCAAGTAGCTGGGACTGCAGGTGTCCCAGCTGCACCACCATGCCTAATTATTTTGTTTTTAATTTTCTGTGGAGACAGCATCTCGTTATGTTGCCCAGGCTGGTTTTGAACTCCTGGGTTCAAGTGATCCTCCCACCTTAACCTCCCAAATGTTGGGATTGCTGATGTGAGCCACCATACCTGACTCACAATACATGTATGTTTAAAAGTCAGCATTGACAATCACTGATTTAAGGGGTTTGAAATATCTCTTAAGGTTCTTGTGCTTTGGAATTTTCATAGTTCTTAATTCTGTTGATTCTCTGATCTACAACAGACATAACACAGTCTCTGTTGGGTATATGAATATCCCTGACCCTGAAGTACAAATTACTATTTAATTAAAAAAAAAAAAAAAAAAACTAACGTTTTTTTCTTTGCTGTAAGACCATTCGTATTATCTAGTTAGCAATTGGATATTTTAATTTCTAAGTATAAATGTAACTTATAGAAAATGTGGCTGGGTGACGTGGCTCATGCCTGTAATCCCAGCACTTTGGGAGGCCGAGGGGGATGGATCACGAGGTCAGGAGATGGAGACCATTCTGGCCAACATGGTGGAACCTCATCTCTACTAAAAATACAAAAAAATGAGCCAGGTATGGTGGTACGCGCCTGTAGTTCAGCTACTCAGGAGGCTGAGGCAGGAGAATCGCTTGAATCCAGGAGGTGGAGGTTGCAGTGAGCAGAGGTCACACCACTGCACTCTAGCCTGGGTGACAAAGCAAGACTGTTTCAAAAAAACAAAACCAGAACTTAGTATATATAAATGTGCATATGAATACTCACACACACATACAGAAACACATATTTCAAAAATCTACCTATCCTTTCTTCCAAGGTAACTACTATAAACATTTGGCATCTTTTCTGTCCCTCTGTGTGTATAGAACTCTATTCCTAGGACAGCAGTAGAATGTAGGAGTGGAACACATGAAGTCTGCACAGACTTCCAGGAGTGTGAATCCTGGGTTTGCCATTTACAGTGACCATGAGCAAGTTAAGTAACTTTTTTATATTTCAATCTTAATCTGTAAAAGAAGGGTTGTGATAGAACCTAGTTCTATAAATAGGATTGTTATAAAGATTAAAAGAGTTCAATAACATAGATAAAGCTCTTAGAACAGTATCTGGCACAGAAAAAGTGACATGTTATCTTTAAACTGAATGAGGCCTTTAGGGTTAATCATGATTTTGTATTCTATCAAACAGTATGTTGTTTAAAATAACAAAATCTGCAGACAAGAGAGGCTTTTTAAGAGAATCAGATAGGATGTAGGAGCTTATATATCATACCAGGGATTTAAATAAATTTGCGGTACCACAGTAAATTTATAGTACCACAACTTCGTTAAAAGTTTAATAAAGGGTACAGATTATATTTGTAATATTACAAATAGTAAGGAGTTTTACTTCTTTTAAACCTGAGGTTTTTTCTTTTCACTTTACAAAGTTGCAATTTTTTGTCCATCATTACAGGCAAATATTGGGTTGCTTAAGATATGGTGATGGAGCAAGGAGAGCGCAGACTTTGAATTATAAACAACTGTGTTTAGATTGTCTCTAACAAAACCTGTGACTTTGGCAAGTACGTTATTTAACTTGTGCCAATAAAATATAATCCTGGGTTCATAATAGAATTTTACTAAATGTACATGTCATGGTTTAGCAGCATGCCTACAAACTACTGAATTAGGTAACCACAAAGACAGAATAAATGAAATTTCAAAGTAAAGTGTGTGAGAAGTATACATTTATGATCTACCCTTAAACAGCATAAGGATTACCGTACTTTAGTATCTCTGCCCCAATCTTCTGTACTCTAGTCAGAGTGAGAAATAGCAGCCCCTTAGGATGTTATTTCTGATCTGAAAAGCTCAGGTTGGTTTAATTAACTGATTTGTTTCCCATAATTGCTTCATTAAGTCTGACAGTGTTTCAAAGATTTTTATTAATAATTATACCTAAAACTACTCTTCTTTATAAATTTTCATAGTCTTAATATATTCTGTGGGAATCAACAGTTTCTTCACATCTAATTTTTATCATCTACCTATACAATGAAATTTATAAAAATATAAACAATAAAGGATAACACATCTGAAACCAGTTTCAGAGAAGTATGTATTTTGTACATAATGTAGACAAACTTATTTAAAGAAGTTATGAATTATAATATTAAAAGTCCTGATAAACTGAATATAACTATCTTCACAATAATGCAAACATTTGTATTAACTGATTTTAGTTTTGGAATTCTCATTCCTAGTATAAAAATCTGCAAGTATAAAAACTGCCTGTTATTCTGTTCATTATGAGATCTTAAAAATCCAATTTTTAAAACACAATTTTATTAATATAAGAATCTGTTAGAAAACAGTTCTTACATTCATTAGAATCATACCTTCTTTGTTTTGGGGTACTTTGTAGGACATTTATTAAGTGCTGGAACTTCAGTTTCAGTAATTATTTCTGCTACTGCAGTTTCAGTTTCTGTTTCTATTGTAAGTACAGTATTTTCAATATCATTTTGTTGTGAAGTAACTTCTATATCAGGAGAAGATGGCTGGATATCTGAACACATGCTGACAGTTCTGTGTCTCCGACGCTGCTGTCCAATGTGAGTCCTACTCCGAGAAAAACTTTTTCTCTGTTTAGTTCTATTTACTTTGGCAGGGGTTGGCTTGGTAGCATTTTCTTCTTTCGCTTGTTCCTAATTTAAAATACAACAGAATGGAAATTTTTATACTGTGTATATATAAAGTTTAAATGTAACAGCATTAATCTACTTCAGAAGCCAACTTTCCAGAATTTATAAATTCTGATATATAATAAAGAACAGAGACAATATAGTCTTATCTCAAGCTGAAACTCCTATAGGATTTGAAAAATGGTATTAAAAAGTTAATACATTATTTTAAATTCCTTATAAGTGTAAGATATGGAAATTTTATTTGAAAGTGTTTAAGAAAATAAAACTAGACCTGAATATAATACCTGAATAACTTCAGCATCACTGACAATCTGTGTATCTTTACATTCAGTTTTAACTTCAGTTTTGGCTGTGCTGATCCTTTCCAAAGCTTGTTCTCTTCTTTTCTCTCTCTTTTCAAGTCTGGCAAAAGCTTGCAAAATTGCTTCCATTTTCCTTTCTTCTCTTGTCTATGAAATTTAAATTTTAAGTGATATCATAAATATCATTGCTCAAAAGTAAAATTAAGTCCAAATGTTTATCACAAATTTTAAAAATAATTGGAGAAAAAAGCATTTCTGTTCATTCAAGATCTTTCAAATTCCCATCATCTTGGTAAGCCCTGTTATTGCAAATATTTCATGAAGGAAACACTTGAATGATTGTTAATGATAAGGGTAAAACAAAACAAAAAAGCCTTAAAAATTACCTTGTTTTAGCAAACTGAAAATCTTTACTCTTAATAATACAGAAACCTGCCTTTTAAAAAAAGATCCCAAATTTCCAAGGAAAAATTTATAAGCACTTGAATGACTATATTATTGACATACTGCAGCAGGGGGCTGTTAGGTAAAGTCTCCGGTTTAAAAATTATGACTCATTTGGTAAGTATCTCTTGTGTCTCTAGGCAAGTTACCCTTTCTGAGACAATAAGATGTAGGTAATAAAACTTGCACTTCTCTGAATTGTTACTCACTTTAAACAGATAATGTGAGGTTTTTAAACAGTACTTGGAAAATGGTAGGCATTCTGTATGTGTTATTATTTCTACTTTAGCTGTCTTGCCCTCCATTGTAATTCTTATAAGGCATTCCTCTACCTTCTGCTCTCCCTGTCTTACACTGACAATTCAAGACAGGGACTGAGAAACAGCCAGGTTTTCCTTTGAGAATCAGTTCTCTAACTAAAAAGAGCATTAAGAGCAAACCCAGAGCCTTGACCAGTGGGCCTGGCAAATGCTTCAGCTCTAAATCAGAACCAGGAACCACATCCATCAACCATCTGGTTCTCCAAATGAAAATAACCAGGTCCTGAGGCTCAAATCCATTTGTCTTTCCTTCTTTATTACCATCGATATGGCGAAGAAAGAAAGATCAGAAACTCAAGGTCTGGATGCCATAGTCATCTCAATATTGGAGCTTTAGTTCCAGTAATTACTAGCAGAGATTCAACCCTGAAGATAGCTACACTTTGGAAACTGTTTACCCATTCCTGTATTTTTGTTGTTGTTGCTACACTTAGCAAGGGAACAAAATAGTATGTCAACAAAAGTACTCTAATATACTTCTAAGTTTCTAATTTGTTACAGCAAGTTACCACATTGCAAATATGATACTGAGGAAACAAGGTCCAAAGAGGTAAGATTCTTTGTTCATGGATTACATATCTGCATCTTACCTCTCCTAGTATGGGACAGGCAGACACTAAAATAGCACATGCAAAAGATGGTCCTACTGGCTCACCAGAAGTTAAAAGTTTTAAAGTGGAGTTGTTTCCTTAGAAAATTCCCTATTTTTGAACTTTTAAATTACCTTTACCCCTTTTTGTCACGTGGTTTTCTGTTAACGCGCTGTTTTTATCAGGGTTTCTCTAAAATCCTGAATTTAGAAAAAAAGAAATTTGGAGTAACTAAAAAGATCATTTTCCCAAACTGTGCTTTACCTGATGACCTGGTTGGAGGGATTAATAACTATGGTTACTTGTTTTCAAAAATTTTAAAATAAAAAATATGGGGAAAGCATATTTTTCCAGAGGAAACAAACTTGTCTTAGCAAGAATCATTGTATGTGTAAAAGAAAAAAATTACTCACAAGGTGGGCACCCAAGGAAGATATTTTCTTATCCTGGGTGTTCGAAGGTAAATATGAATTTATGCCAAAGGAGCCTGACACAGTCCGATATTCCCTTGTTTTAGAAGGTAGGAGTAAGGGTCACAGACAAAACTGTTTGGAGTTAATCTGGATCTTAAAAAAACGTGGTCCAATACTGCTTAAGAAACCAAAGCCATGTGTATTAAGTGACTCATTCAAAAGCAAAGCCATAGTAATTATGCAGGTTTCCTACCTCCTAATTTACTCTTCGTTCCGATTAACTACTGCCACTACATAAAGCAAAACTCTTCCGACATTAAACATCTGGGTAAGAATAAAGCTGAAAGCAGCAAACATTTCCTAACAGCTTTAAACCTAGCTTTATCTTAAAATACACTAATATTTGGTAATATATACATGCATGATTTTCTACATTTACTTTAAATTTCTTAAGAGTCAGATGTCATTCAGCTTTTCTAGTCACCATTACATACAGTACATTCTTTGACATAGCCATGTATATGATACCTATTTAAAGACAAAATTTGCCACCCATTATAAAGCTCTAACTGAAAAATAAGTTTTATTATTTGAGTTAGTTACAGCTGACTCCAGAGAGGATTAGAAAAATTAGGAATCTTAATAAACCCCAGCAGACTTCCCACAGCCCCCAATACCTGTGCTATAAAATATATAAAACTTGATACATTTAGACTTCCCATAAAATCTATGTATACATTGTTTTTATGACGTGAATCTTAGTTTATGGTTTTGTAAAGGTAAATACAGAGGATAGTAATTTCCTGTAAGCAGGCTGCTTAATATCCCCCTCACAAAGCAAGACCCCCATCTCCACAAAAAAAGCAATGGTTTAAAAAATTAACAAGACATGGTGGTATGCGCCTGTAGTTCAGGCTACTCCAGACACTGAGGCAGGAGGATCAGTTGAGTCCAGGAGTTGGAGGCTATGATGAGCTATGATCATACCACTGCACTCCAGCTTGTGAACAGTGAGGCCCTGTCTCTAAAAACAGCTAAGAAAAGGAAAGCCAGAATAACCTTATTCTTTGGTCTTGAAATAGAGAAATTAAATGATTCCTTGCTCAAAAGAAATGATCCTTTTACATAACATAGATTAACTTATAAATCTAAAAAGATGGGTAACGTTGTTACCAATAAAAATCATTCCAAAATAACGTGTATGGCTTGTGTGGTGTCTCCATTTCCTCTATCACGTGATGAGTGAATTTATACTCACAGACTCTTTTGATACTCGTTTGTTGTTCCCTCTACCCTATTCTCTACAAAAGCTATTCGAGCAGTGACCTTGCCTTCTTTGTTCACCTGATACCTCAAATGGCAAACACATTTTTGTTAAAGAGTAATAATTGTGTATACATTATGTCAAGCATATATCACTGTTATTTGAAGACATAACTGGAAGCATTTCAACAATTTTGGTAATCTCGAATTTATTAGAAAGCAGCTAAAGCTGATTAACCTCATTTTGTTTGAACTGAATAACCTATAAAAATAAACAGGTTCCCTTTCACTATTTAACACCACAATGTCATTAATTACTCATCTTTAGAAATACAATTCCCAGTGTCTACAATGGGAGAAAACAGGACCTTAAAAAAAATGAGCATCAACTGAATCATGTTGAAGACAGAACAGTGAGTTGGATAACATCTCATATTCCTCTCATCAGATGACTTTTCCAGCAACAAATTTATCCTCTCTAATTATATATTTTTTTAAAGCATTGTGTCTTCTAAAGGGATGTTCTAAATTAGGTCAGTCAAGTTTTCCTAGAGACATTCAATAATAGTATGGATTCTATAGTGTTTTCTCACAGTGTCTTCCATTAAATAAAACTCTGTGGGAGTCAAAGGTGTTATCCACAAAAACCTGCAAGGGTATACAAATTCAGGAAAAGCTGACAGTTTCTTGAGCTTTTAAACACATGTACACTGGGAATCTGAAAAGGAAGGATATGGTATAGTGTTCACAACAGTAAATTCGACTGATCATGGCTTTTTTTCACAGCATCTCAAATTATACTTGTGTGGAATACATTTTGATGTGAAGGATGAAAGCTGAGAAAATTGTGGAGAATCCTAGGCCAGGCTTCCAGATCATTCATTACCTGAACTATAGGGAAGCTTGATTGAGTTCACGTTCATGGGCCTGTATCTTTCCTCAAATGGTTGCAATGAACATTCAGTTAGCTTATTTACCGAGGGTCTACTTTTTTGCCCACTATTTTTTATTTCCCTAGGAGCTAGAGCTATGACAATAATGCTGAAAGTTTTCTCCCTCATGGAGTTTATGATATAGTGATACAAAAATTATACACCATCGTAGCTGCTTGACAAGTCCAGCAATCTCTTATCTATGTGACTTCTTGTCATACCCTTTCACTGTTTCTCAAATGTCTGTCCTTTTAAATGTGATGACCACACTAAATCATTTTCTGTGGACTCACTCAATTTTATGCATTCTGGCAATATAGGCCATCAAATATTAACAAGATTATATTCTCAAAGTATATTATGAAGGTTATGAAACATTACTATTTTGGAAATTAAAACTACAAGGAGACTGTCTTCATGCCATTATAAATAGGGGAGCCAGCGTCTTTTTTTCAAGATTGCATCACTGCACTCCAGCATGGGTGACAGAGCAAGATTATCACGGCAACTTCCTCCTCTGGGTTCAAGTGATTCTGGTGCCTCAGCCTCCCAAGTAGCTGGAATTCAAGGAATGCACCACCCTGCCTGGCTAATTTTTGTATTTTTAGTAGAGATGGAATTTTGCCACATCACCCAGGCTTGTCTTGAACTCGTGGCCTCAAGTGATCCACCTGCCTTGGCCTCCCAAAACACTGGGGTTACAGGCATGAGCCACCATGCCCAGCAAAAGGTTTCTTTCAGTATTTAAATCTTTCAAAAGTTTGCTGTTTTAAAAACGATCACTTTAAGCTAACGGTATACCCTCCCAGTATCTAAACTTCTTCCACATGTACTGTTTATATGACAAGACTATAGCCACCTAATGCCACCTCAACAAACATACTAGGAAGACACTCAGTAGTGTCCTGGGTTTTGGAATCAAGTGAGTATAAACAGTATATTGTATTCAGTTACATGGCTTAACTGGGCTCGTGGTAAGATTTTCCTAATGTGCAGTAACCAGTTCCATACAACTTAGCCACAAATTTGCTTTTGTAAAAGCAGGCAACAATAACTTAACAAAAAAGATAAAATACAATGGATGGAAAAAGAAAATGTTCATGAAAGAAAAATCCAAAAGGCCAAAAGAGGTGGAGGGTAGTGGAACTAGAAATAACAAGGCTTTCCATCTTGGTCACATATTCTTTATGAAGTCTTCATCTATGAATATCTGTGTGACCTATAGCCAACCTCATCTCCCTAGTAGCCCTCTCCTCCTCCAACCAAATATAATTTATAGCTCTCTCCAGGATTTCCCCCGGAATAATACATTCCATAAAACTTTTGTCATAAGCTACTCCGTATTTGCTTAAACCCAACTTGAAAGGTCCATCATCAATAAAGTACAAAAATATATTAAATATACATAAACAGAAATATGTATTACCTAGAGTTCATGAAACAATCTGATCTCTCCCCAGCTATATCTCCTTCACTTATTGCTGAGTTGTAATTATTTTGTAAATACCTCAAAAAGCAGAGACATTGCCTTATCTCCCACTGTGATAAAAAAAAAAAATGCCAACAAACAAAATACATAAATACCCTGGTGCAATTTTTGGAAATTAAGCATGACGTTAAAAGGTGGTGTCTGAAATTATGTACAGAGGTTAAAATTGCCAATTTTGCATTGTTCAAGCTTTACTACAAAAGGATAGGGTGAAGTACAATAGTTCCCCTTTATTCACAGGGGATACATTTCAAGATCACCAATGCATGCCTAAAACTGCAGATAGTAGTGAACCCTATATATATAGTACTGTTTTTTCCTATACATATATAAGTATAAAATGGAACAATTACATACTGTTATAAAAGTTATGTGAATGTAATACCTGTCTCAAAATCTCTCAGTGGATAACTGAAACCTCGGAAAGCAAACCTACAGATAAGGAGGGACTACTGTACATTTAAATTTGGTGATTACATGGCGTTTAGGAGGAGATTATCACTGACTCATCATATTCCAATTTGATAAATATACACGATGCCAAGTCTAGGTGAGGTCTCAAATCTGAAATGCTCCTAAATCCAGAACTTTTTGATTGCCAACATGATGCTCAAAGGAAATGTTCATTGGAACATTTCAGATTTTTGGATTTGGGATGTTCAACTGGTAACTGCAATGCAAATATTCCAAAATATTAACCCTGAAAAATTTCTGGTCCTAGAAAAGTAATACTCAACTTGTATCTCCATACTGGTTTGGAAGTCTGTCTTGTCACAGGTGGAAATTTGTATCACTTTGACCTGTTTCTCAAGAGTAGTATGGCTACCATCTTTATTCTGCCTAGTTTTAGTTGTGCCTCTTTGTCACTTTTTTGATTTGACCTTGTCTTTCTGAGTACTGATGTTAATCTAACCAATATAAAAGTCAAGACTAGGAAAATAAAAGGGGATTAATTTTAAAACTTTTTTTTTTTTTTGAGACGGAGTTTCTCTAGTTACCCAGGCTGGAGTGCAATGGCGCGATCTCGGCCCACCACAACCTCCGCCTCCTGGGTTCAGGCAATTCTCCTGCCTCAGCCTCCTGAGTAGCTGGGATTACAGGCACGCGCCACCATGCCCAGCTAATTTTTTTTTTGTATCTTTAGTAGAGACAGGGTTTCACCATGTTGACCAGGATGGTCTCAATACCTTGATCTCGTGATCCACCCGCCTCGGCCTCCCACAGTGCTGGGATTACAGGCTTGAGCCACCACGCCCGGCCTTAAAACTTTTCAAAACCAAATACAATACTAATGATCCTGGGATGCATATGTCTGCATTCTGCTTATTTGACTACATCCAAAAATTCTGTAATGCAAACATCAAAGCAAATGTGCCAATTAGAAGTAACAGGATTGAGATGACTTTGAGAGCTATGTATGGATCAGGGACAAGGATTTTTAGATTTTAATTTCATATCCTTTCCAAATACCAATTTATAGACATTTATACTTTCCAGGTTTTCCACATTTTATTCCCATGAAAAATACTTAGTTTCATAGCCACCTTAGTGGCAGATGGTAAAATATGTTAAAATGGATATAAAAAATTTTGAAGTGTTCTTCATTTTACTGTAGCATACCAATAAGGAAAATCAGGATCAAAATTGGATTCCAAGTAAGCCAATATATACATATATTTTCTAAGTTCCATCAAGTTTAACACTGAGTATCCAATTTTCTTCCAGCGCCTAGAAATAAGGATGTTCTAAGATCCACTAACTTTGTCAGCATTTATAGAAGAAAATATATTTAAAGTAGCCTTATATAAATGTTTTTAAACGGAATTCAATATGAATAAAATTACTGTATTTTATGGGCAAAGAACAAGCCCCCAGTTTTTTTTGTTTCTTTTTGCAACGGGGATCTCACTCTGTCATCACCTAGGCTGGAGTGTAGTGGTCAGTCACAGCTCACTGCAGCCTTGACCTCCTAGACTCAAGCGATCCTCCTGCCTCTGCCTCCTGAGTAAGCTGGGAATACAGGCATGCACTGTCACACCTGGCTAATTTTTAAATTTTTTGTACAGATGAGGTCTCACTATATTGCCCATAATGTAACTCCCATAATGGGTCTCTAACTCCTGGGCTCAAGTGATCTTCCCACCTCAGCCTCCCAAAGTGCTGGGATTACGGATGTGAGTCACCATGCCTGGACTGTGATTTTTTTTTTTAATTTCATTTTTTCTCTAAAGTGGTCACTACAGCCCTTAAAGCCACTTATAAAAGAGGTTCCTCCCACAAAGACGCATGCCACACAGAAACAAGTAATACTCTAAATTGGTTTCCTAAGAATTCCCTGCACAAGGCTGTGTCAACTGAAGAATAAACAGGACAATACTAAAAATCAATACTCAATAAAGAGCCATAGGTAACTTGAGAAGGCACTCATAACATATATAATTGAATCTCAACAAAGGTTCAAGATAATCCCTTTAGGTACAAGAATTCCTCCTTTATATACTCCTCCAATATTTTCTTTCTGCTTTTCTCCTAATACTACCTTGTCTCAACAGACCATTGTTCTTGAAATCCTAAGGCTATAAAACAGTTCTTTACTGTTTTCAGAATTTTGAGTAACAAAATCAATATTGGAAACTACCGAGGTCTCGAACTACTGGCCTCGAGTGATGTACCTGCCTCAGCCTCCCAAATGTTGGGATTACAGGAGTGAGCAACAGCACTCGGCCAACAATGACTAAACTTTAAAACAACCCACCCTTAAATATGTGACATGAGATTCCAGGGAATACAACATGAAAACTCTGAAAATAGGAAACAAAAGAACATATGAAGTGAAGAGGGGAATGGGGAGAACCTATCATAAGGCCATCAGTCAGTCGTAAAGTTATTTTCAAATTTTAGGGCATGGAAAGTATAACTATGATACTTTTTTAACTGACTGACAGATCAAATGCTAAATTACCATAATTTGTGAGAAAACAGCTTGTCTTAATTTTTACACTGATAAAATATTTGTAAATAGTACAAGGAATATACATCCTAAATTTATTTTAATGAGAACCTTGTATGATAGCAGGGTGAGAATATAGAAATAGTAGCTACCAGTGGTTGGGGTTTTTTTTTTTTTTTTTTTGCATAAGCAATTCATTTGGTGCTATAAGGTTTCAAGTTTATTTTTATTATATTTCAAATTACGAAAGGATACATTTAACTAATAAAAGACATTTTGAACAATAATTGTGGCATTAAAATTTATTAGTAGTTCAGTGTAGAATTAAAATATTAATAGTTATCGGCTTCAAAAATGTTCATAAAATATTTCTTAATGTCATACATTGTTAAATCTCTAATGAACAATCAATAGAAATACAAGTTTAGTGGAATTTATTTAAATGGTAATGACAAAAAAACGAATAAAAATGCTCAATGGCACACCATGAGGCCCAAATTTGCTAACTTCAAAGAATGGTGTAAAAGCTCATGGAAAGGCAGCTACAATTACCATATGAAGAGCAGCTGTCACTAAACCCAAACTTACTGGCTTCCCAACTTACCATCTTCCTTTTCCTTTCTGCAATCTGCTCCTCTGATTCCATTTCTACTTCATTACTAATAGGAGTTTTTTCTTCTATATCATCAATAAAATCCGGTTCCTGAAAGATGGAAATGACTTCTTTATAAACTATTACTCCATCTATATACAACTATTTCAATGTCTTTCAACCATGACAAATTCAACATGTCAACATAACCTATTTAAATTCATTTAAGAAATTCCTCATTCAAGATGCTTTTCAAAATCAAGCTATCAAATACTTTTGCTTTTTAAATTTTAGCCAATAAAATTTTTATCAATATAGGTCATATATGGTAGCACGGCCTTATGTTCATACAGTTCCCAAAACATAAACATGTAAATTATTTCAGAAAAACCTGCAAATACCCAGTGGCTCAGTAAGTGTTTATTCAGTCGAAAGCTTAAGGGAAATTATTTCTAGAAGACAGGGCTCTGGAAATGAGCAAAATCTTACTTTATTTTCACATTTTAATGATCCCTCCTAACTGTTTTTTGTTTATAGAGGACATGAAGCAGACAGACTTAGGCCAAACTCTACCCCCAAAATTACCTTATATGTTATTAGTGAATTTTCTCTCAAATATTTTATTTGCTGTTATTGTGACATGCTTACAGAATTGATCGTGTGTCCACAGGTTTTAGGAAAGAAAATTTTGCAGCTTAAGACTTTAAATGGGGCTGGGCGCAGTGGCTCACGCCTGTAATCCTAGCACTTTGGGAGGCTGAGGCGGGCAGATCACGAGGTCAAGAGATCGAGACCATGTTGAAACCCCGTCTCTACTAAAAAATACAAAAAATTAGCTGGGCATGGTGGCGCGTGCCTGTAGTCCCAGCTACTCGGGAGGCTGAGGCAGGAGAATTGCTTGAACCCAGGAGGAGGAGGTTGCAGTGAGCCAAGATCATGCTTGCTGTGAGCCGAGATCATGCCACTGCACTCCAGCCTGGCGCCTGGTGGCACAGTGAGACTCTGTCTCAAAAAAAAAAAAAAGACTTTAAATAAGAACATTTATTATGAACATAAAGTGCCACCTAGAAGGTTTTTTAAAGTTATGTAGTCTTAGGAAAATCCTGTCTGCAATTCTGCAAGGATTTGCTGGCTGAGCTGTTTCCTAATAATTCACCAAATTTGTACAAATTCTAGCAGAATCTGTATTTTCATCATGAATACTTCATTAAATGACAAAATAGAGTTAAAAATACTTTAAACAATTATACACAGAACAAATAAAAGGATAAATATGACAAATTATTTTCCTTTGTTTATTTAATTTCGTTGAGAGTCAGCAGAGTTCAGTACCTGATTATTTGATACTGATAGTCTCAGTGGAGAAAGCTTTCTTTGTTTAGTTTCTGGGCTCTTCATTTTGTTGGTTGTTCCTTCACAATCCAAAGTAATATTCTGATTTTGTGTATCTTTTTCTTTGGAAATATCTTTGTCTTTTTTTCCTTTTTTCCGTCTGGTCTCATAGCCACTATTGATATTTTCCATGGATTCAGAACTACGTTTCAAAACAGGGCACTCTGGGTTTTCTTTGAGGCATGCACAGTCCACTTTGTATTTACTGGAAAGATAAGCAGTTAAATATTTATTTCAAAATATAAAACAAAATTGGAAAATTTCTAATCCATTTTAAGCTGTAACTCCACAAAATTGTATGCAATTACTAGTAATGAAAGCAATCCTTTTTAGTAATTTACAGTCCTAGTTACTACCACAAAAAACTTTCCTCATAAAAATAATGTAATAATTAAATGTTGATTTCGGATCAGATACTAGGCATTTGTACAGGTTGAGCATGCCTTACCTGAAATGCTTAGGACCAAAAGTGTTGTAAATTTTGAAATGTTTACATATACATAATAAGATATATTGGGGGAATGGGATCCAACTCTAAACACAAAATTCACTCATGTTTCATATAGGCTAAAAGTAATTTTATACAATATATTTAATAATTCTGTGCCTGAAACAAAGTTCTGACTGCACTTTGACTATGACTTGTCATATGAGGTCAGGTGTAGAATTTTCTACTTTTGGCATCATGTCAGCGCTCAAAAAGTTTAGGATGGCTGGGTGCAGTGGCTCTCGCCTGTAATCCTGGCACTTTGGGAGGCCAAGGCAGATCAATTGAGACTAGCCTGGCCATCATGGTGAAATCTGTCTTTATTAGCTGGGCATGGTGGCAGGCACCTGAAATCCCAGCTACATGACAGGCTAAGGCAGGAGAATTGCCTGAAACTGGGAGGTAGAAGTTGCAGTGAGCCAAGATCATGCCAACGCACCACTCCAGCCTGGGCGACAGAGCGAGACTCAGTCTTAAAAAAAAAAAAAGTTTAGGATTTTGATTTCAGATTTTTGCATGAAGGATGCTCAACCTGTAATATGTTACAGAATTAGGAAAAAAACCAAACACATTAAAACTGAGTGTTTTAAAGTAAAATGATACCGTGGATTACACAAAACATTAAGGCAGAAACCATAATTACTTCAGTATCCCAGAGTGCTATATAAAATACTGATCTGAAATCTGACCAAATAAAAAATGCAGGTGTAACAAATAACTAAACCTCACTAGTTTGTCTTGTACTTTATGGAATGAAAGCAACAACCAAGTTTCTTTAAAAAGCTACCTTGATGACATTTAATGTCTCCTTTTTACCATACTAAGTGTTCTCTCTTTCAAATGGAAGCCTGAGAAATAACTGCACTCTGTCTCATATTCACCATAATGATACTTATTACTGCCATTTTACAAGTGAGATTAAAACTCAGTGAACATTAGCGTCTTGTTCAATGTTACAAAGTTAATAAGTGAAAGAGACGGCATTTAGATCCAGGTCTCTATATGACTCTCAGGCTCATGTACTTTTCATTTCAGTACTTCTCAACTCTGATCTCTTTATTTCTACCCCAGCTGCTAAGATGTAGTTCATCTCTAGGATACAGGCCAAATGCCCAAACCTCAGTTAAACAATAATACAAATCTCCACTTTGCATGTTTTAAGTAGTTGAATGTTTGTTAACAATAAAAACAATTTACTTTTTAAGTGTCTAATATTCCTAACTCTTAAAACAGCTAGAAAGATTCAAATCCAACTTCCTTAATTCTGTGAACAAGGGACAGAATTCAAACATTTATGGTCCTACCTCCCACCTCTCAAATCAGGTATTAACAGGCACTAGTAGTTCTGTTGATTTTAGGACAACAGAACTACAAACAATAATGATGGCAAGAGCTTTTGTTTATTAAGCACTTTAGGTGAGTATTATTATTATTCTCATATACTTGAGGTAATGCAGCACAATGTGATGAAGAAATTGGTCCAAGGTCACACAGTAAGTGACCAAGCCAGGATTTGAAACCAGATAGATTACATTCTTAACCTATATGGGATAGGTAATCCCACAAAGCAATGAGCAAAGAACTGTGCTAAATCTTCTACCTTCTAGGAGAGAAAGGGCTAAAATAATATGATAAATCTCACAGCAATAATCAGTAGAAAGACATACTAAAGGAAGAGGGATTTCACCAAAAGAAAACGCAACGTTTTAAAAATAATATCACACGAAGTTTAAAAAATATATAGAGTAAGAGGAACTGAACTGAATTGCTTATAACCCAAAACCCAAAAGACTACAGAATATATAAAGAATTTCTAGGGGGAAATAAAAAGCAAGAAAATGACTACCCAGTAGAAAGACAGATGATAAGATCAAGCAATTCACAAGAGAGAAATCCAAATGACAATACAGAAAAAGACCTATGGGTTCATAAATAATCAAAGAAAACGGTAAATAAAAATATTAACAAAAAAAGATATTCCACATTGAGCTAGCATGTGTGTGTGTGTGTGTGTGTGTATGCACATATATATTTATTTTGAGATGGAGTCTCACTGTCACCCAGGCTGGAGTGCAGTGGCACAATCTCAGCTCCCTGCAACCTCCACCTCCCAGGTTTAAGTGATTCTCCTGCCTCAGCCTCTTGATTAGCTGAGATTACAGACCTGCACCACCATATCCAGCTAATTATTGTATTTTTAGTAGAGACAGGGTTTCACCATGTTGGCTAGGCTGGTCGAGAACTCCTGACCTCATGATCCGCCCACCACAGCCTCCCATAGTGCTGGGATTATAGGCATAAAGCACAGCGACTAGCATGTATTTTCAGTCTTAGAGTAAAGAAGTATAGCAAGGCACTAAATTACTTAGGACTGTAAACTGGTACGAGCTTCTTAAATAGATATTCACTCACATCTGGCAAAAGCTCATGCATTGCACATTCTACAACCCAGCAATTCCACTCCTATGTTTCTACCATGCAGAGAACACATACACACATGTTTGTGTCCCTACCATGGAGAGGACATGTACACACATACAGACACGTTCAGAAAGGCCTAGGTGCATTCTTTTGTCAATATACAGGTCTGTCAACAGTGAAATGGATAAATGCCATAGGCAGTGAAAATAAAGAAAATATAATCTCACGTAATAAATGAGAAAAGAATGCAGAAGAATACAGGTTACAATTTACATAAAAGCTTAAAAGTATACAAAATTCTAGATATTATTTGCCAACAAATACAGACATAGTAAAATGTTAGAAAAATCAAATTAAAGATAGCAGTTAGTGAAGGAGGGAAGGGAGATGCAATGTGGCTGCTAAATATAAGGGGCTTCAAAGAATAATGTGTTAATTTCTTAATTTGGGAATTACATGGGTGTTTATAGTATTTATTTTATTTATTTATTTGAGATGGAGTTTCACTCTTGTTGCCCAGGCTGGAGTGCAGTGGTGAGATTGCTCACTGCAATCTCTGCCTCCTACCTTCAAGCAATTCTCCTGCCTCAGCCTCCCAAGTGGCTGGGATTACAGACATTTGCCACCATCCCTGGCTAATTTTGTATTTTTAGTAGAGATGGGGTTTCACCATGTTGGCCAGGCTGGTTTTGAATCCCTGACCTCAGGTGAACCACCTCTTTGGCTTCCCAAAGTGCTGGGATTACAGGTGTGAGCCGCCACACCCAGCCAAATGTTTGAATTACTGTTTACATTTTTCTTTCTTTCTTTTTATATATATATAAAGACAGGGTTTCACCATGTTGGTCAGGCTGGTCTTGAACTCCTGACCTCAGGTGATCCGCCCACCTTGGCCTCCAAAGTGCTTGGATTACAGGCATGAGCCACCAAGCCTGGCCATTTTTCTATCAAATTTTTAAAAACTGAAACAAGTTTCTATACAGCTGACCCTTGAACAACACAAGTTTGAACTGTGCACATACACTTATACATGGATGTTTTTCAATACATATACTGGAAAACTTTTTGAAAATTTGCAACAATTTGAAAAACCAGATGGACTATGTAGCCTAGAAATATTTTTAAAAGTAAGAAAAAGGTATGTCAATAATGCATATGCATGTAGATAGTAGTCTATTTTATCATTTATTACCATAAAATATACACAAATTATAAAAAGCTAAAATTTATCAAAACCTATACACACACATACAGACCTTATGTGGTGCCATTCACAGTCCAGAGACATGTAAAGATATAGTATTAAATAATTAGCTATATAAAAGTAACTGTAGGACATTCCTTATATTAGTAGTACAAATTAGTACTACTAATTTGTAGCCATCTCCTGTTGCTATTGTGGTGCCTCAAGGGTTGGGAGTATCTATGTAAAATGGCATGTGACACATCCCCAGGAGCAGTTTATCTCTCAGTAAATTGTGTATTGCAATAAAAAGCGATCTCTTGTGGTTCTTGTGTATTTTTTCATAGTGTTTAGTGAAAAAAAGTAATTTTTTTGTTTTGAGACAGTCTTGCTCTGTCACTCAGGCTGGAGTGCAGTGGTTTGATCTCAGCTCACTGCAACTTCCACCTCCCAGGTTGAAGCAATTCTTCTGCCTCAGTCTCCCAAGTAGCTAGGATTACAGGTAACTGCCACCATGCCTGGCTAATTTTTTGTATTTTTAGTAGAGCTGGGGTTTCGCCATGTTGTACAGGCTGGTCTTGAACTCGTGGCCTCAGGTGATCTACCCGCGTTGGCCTCCCAAAGTGCTGGAATTACAGGCATGAGCCCCACACCCAACCAATATACTATATTTTAAGTAACACTACGTGACCTATACAAAGTGCCACTAGCGATGCTGAAGTGCTCCCAAGAAACAAAGAAGTTATGACAAAAAGAAGTTGCACTGCTGAAGATACATTGTAGACTGAGGTTGCAGCTGTAGTTCTCTGCCATCTCAAGACAAATAAATCCAGTATAAGTGCCAATGTAAAAAATAGAGAGAGATTCGTGGAGCCATCACTGCAGCTGTGCTGCAGAATGTGAAAACCTTGCACTTTCTGCAACATATATTTTTATCTAGTATTGTAAATGAAGCTTTTATGTGGGTGCAAGTGTGCTATATAAGAAAGGCATACCTATAGACCCTAATAGGTTTCTAGAAAAAGTGAAGTCATTATATGACAATATAAAACAAAAGGAATATGAAAGATCTAAAGTTGGAGAATTTGATGCCAGTAATGTATGGTCAGATGATTTTAAAAAGAGGTTTAGCTTAACAACTAAAGCCACATCTGCCAACTTAAGCAGTAGATGAGTTCTCAGACACTATTAAAAAAATCATCCAGGAGAAAGAATATCTGTCTGAAGTCTTTAAATGCAGACAAAAGTGTCCTATTCTGGGGTAGGGGGGCATGAAAGGATATTTATTAGTAAGGAAAAGAAGCAAGCACCAAAATTTAAGGTAGGAAAGAACAGATTGACTCTACTATTTTGTGCAAATGCATTTGGGTTTACGATCAGGACTGCCCTTACCCATAAAGCTGCTAAACCCAAGCCTTGAAGGGAAGACATACACCAACTGCCAGTTATTTGCTTGTACAAAAGAACTTGGATAAGAATCCTTTTTCTGGATTGGTACTATTGATGCTTTGTCCCTCAAGTCAGACAACAGGCAGCTAGGAAGGGAATGCCTTTTAAATGTCTTTTGGGCCGGGCGCAGTGGCTCACACCTATGATCCCAGCACTTTGGGAGGCTGAGGCGGGTGGATCACGAGGTCAAGAGATCGAGACCACCCTGGTCAACAAGGTGAAACCCCGTCTCTACTAAAAATACAAAAATTAGCTGGGCATGGTGGTGCATGCCTGTAGTCCCAGCTACTCAGGAGGCTGAGGCAGGTGAATTGCTTGAACCCAGAAGGCAGAGGTTGCGGTGAGCCAAGATCGCGCCATTGTACTCCAGTCTGGGTAACAGCAGCGAAACTCCGTCTCAAAAAAAAATAAATGTCTTTTGATATTGGACAATGCCTCTGGCCACCCAGAACCCTATGAGTTCAACACTGAGGGCATCAAATTAGTCCAAACATAATGTCTCTAACTCAGCCTCTAGATTAGGGAGTGATGGCCTTTAAGGCTCATTACACACCATACTCTAAGGAAAAGACTGTAACACTGTGGAACAGAACCTTGAATGAGAAGATCATTAAAGTCTGGAAGGATTACACCATAAAAGATGCCATCATTATAGAAAAAGCTATGAAAGCCATCATGCCCGAAACAATAAATCCCTGCTGCAGCAAACTGTGTCCAGATGTTATGCAAGACGTCACAGAATTTAAAACAGAGCCAATCAGGAAAATCATAAAAGAGATTGTGGATGTAACAAAAAAGGTGGAGGTGAAGGAAGAATACAGATATGGATCTTGGAGAAATTCAAGAGCTAATAGATACTACATCAGAGAAATTAATAGACGATGCCTGATGGAAATGATTGCTTCCAAACCAGTGCCAGATGATGAGGAAGAAGATGTAGAAAAAGCAGTGCCAAAAAACAAATTTACATGAGACAATCTGGCATAAGGGTTCCATTTTTTCAAGACTGTTTTTTACTTTTTTTTATGACATGGACTCTTCTATGATACGGGCACTGAAACTAAAGCAAATGATGGAAGACTGGTACCATACAGAAACATTTTGAGAGACATAAAAAAGCAAAAAGGCCACACAAAAATTATTATTTTCATAAAGTTATACCATGTGCACTTCCCTTTCCTGCCTCCCTTTCTACTACCCCTCCTCCCTCTGTCACCCTGAGACAGCAAGACCAATGCCCACCCCTTCCTCAGCCTACTCAACATGAGGATGAAGACTTTTATAATAATCCACTTCCACATAATGAACAGCAAATATATTTTCTCTTATGATTTTTTAAAAAACATTTTCTTTTCTCCAGCTTACTGTGTTGTAAGAATACAGTATATGGCATAGAGAATATGTGTTGTCGTTGGTAACACTTCTAGTCAATAGTAGGCTATTGGTAAAGTTTCAGGGAAGTCAAAATGTATAAGCAGATTGCAGATCGTGCAGGGAGTGGGTGCTCCAACCCCGCATTGTGCAAGGGCTAACTGTAATCAGATTCATCATTAGTTTTGTTTTTTTTTTTGAGACGGAGTTCCGCTCTTGTTACCCAGGCTGGAGTACAATGGCGCGATCTCGGCTCACCGCAACCTCAGCCTCCTGGGTTCAGGCAATTCTCCTGCCTCAGCCTCCTGAGTAGTTGGGATTACAGGCACGTGCCACCATGCCCAGCTAATTTTTGTATTTTTAGTAGAGACAGGGTTTCACCATGTTGACCAGGATGGTCTCGATCTCTTGACTTCGTGATCCACCCACCTCGGCCTCCCAAAGTGCTGAGATTACAGGCGTGAGCCACCACACCCAGCCCTCATCATTAGTTTTTTAACTACGGTTTCAGAACGATAGTTATTACGAGTTTCTCTGCAGGATCTCCAACAAACCCTATTAATTTATACTGCAAAGAAAATTTGGTACACTTTCTTTTGTTTTGAGGGGCAAAAGAGAAATTATTTTTACTGATGAACTAACTGTCTGACTAAAATTGTATCCCCTAGAAGAAAAAGAAAAAAAATTCTTACATAAACAAGGTTAGTGTTGTATGGCTGAATTAGGATTACTTGTTATAATTACTGTGAACATTTACATTACAATAATACTTAGGGAAAATGTAGAAATGAAAAGCAGCAAAGATATAATAGAGACTGATACTAAACTTCTGGTTTTCAAGTACTTTTAACTGCTTCATGATAAATAAAAATAAAAAGCTATAAAAGTAACGACAACACCTAAATTATTACAGGGATGCTATGGAACTATTTTGAAATAACAGATGACATTTATAGACTTGAACTTACCAATTCCCATAGTCAAAATCGAAAGCAATAGTAATTTCAGTTCCCTTTGGAATACTTTGTATAGAATAAATATAAAGATGTATGGTTCCATCTTGAATTTCATGCCTCACCTGTAAGTTACAATAATATTGTATTACCATAAATTACTTTCTGCCTTCAGAAGCATCAACCTACAATTTTGAAAATTAGTCTTTTCAAAGTATTTCACAAACACAACCTGGAAAATATGTCATTAATGAGAAGGTTTATAACCATCTATCAGTGGTTATCAACTGGGAAGGTTTTTCAAACATACACTGCTACCCAATGCCACCCCAACTCCTTGAGCCCACAATGTGGCATTAAAAATAGTAATTTCATCAATTCTAATTTTTCATCTTCTAGCATCCCTGAAATCAGGAGTCTCGTAAGTGGTGGCATCTTAGGATTTTGTTGTTGTTTTTGAGACAGAGTCTCACTCTGCCATCACACCAGCCTGGAGTGCAGTGGTGTGATCTCAGCTCACTGCAACCTCTGCCTTCCTGGTTCAAGCGATTCTCCTGTCTCAGCCTCCTGAGTAGCTGGAACTACAGGCATGTCCACCATGTGTAGCTAATTTTTGCATCTTTAGTAGAGACAGGGTTTCACCATGTTGGTCAGGCTGGTCTTGAACTCCTGACCTCAGATGATCCACTTGCCTCAGTAAAATCCCAAAGTGCTGGGATTACAGGTGTGAGCCACCATACCCAGCCTTCTTAGGTTTGATGAATGCAGTAATGGTAGAGCAAACACTACTTTTCTATGACAAGACACTATTCTAGATACTTTACATGTACTCCTTCAGTCCTCATATCACCTTTTTACAGATAAAACTGAGATTACAAAGCTATTAAGTCACAGGGAAGAAATAAATTTAAGTCTGGTTCCAAAATCTATACTCTTAGCTGGCTGCAGCAGTGCATGCCTGTAATCCCAGTTACTCTGGAGGCTGAAGCAGAACTAACACTTGACCCCAGGAGTTTAAGGCCAACCTAGGGCAACATGGCAAGATCCTGTCTTTAAAAAAAAGAAAAAAAGAAAAACCCTACATTGTTGGCTGCAATATTAGTTATAAAACAATCATCATTTTGACATGTAAAAAACAAAACCAACATGATTTTACACTCTACACTAAAATATAATTTTATTAAAATTTTACAGTAGAACATATTAATTCTACTTATATCTCCACTTTGTCATCTAACTTAAACCACAGCATGTATTGACCCACAAATAAGAGCGTCCAAGATAAAAAGAAAGTTGTCTGGTATCAGGCTGGGTATGGTGACTCATGCCTGTAATCCTAGCACTTAGGAAGGCCAAAGGCAGGAAGATGGCTTGAACACAGGAAGCTCCAGACCAGCCTGGGAAACACAGGGAGACCCCAATTCTACAAAAAATTAAAAAAAAAAAATTAGCTGGGCATGGTGGCACACATCTGTGGTCCCAGCTACTCAGGAGTCTGAGGTGAGATTGCTTCACCTCCTGAGGGCCCAGGAGGTTAAGGCTCCAATGATCCATGATCACACCTCTGCACTCCAGCCTGGGCAAAACCCTGCCTCAATAATAATAATAATAATAATAATAATAATAATGACTTTAGAAGTCTGGGCAGGCTCACAACTGTAATCCCAAAACTTTGGGAGGCCAAGGCAGAAGGATCACTTGGCCCAGGAGTTTTCGAGTCTAGCCTGGGCAGCAAAATGAGACTCTTATCTCGACAAAAATTTAAAAAATTAGCCGGGTGTGGTGGCACACACCTGTAGTACCAGCTACTCAGAAAGCTGAGACAGGAGGATCACTTGAGCATGGGAGGTCATGGAGGCTTCAGTCAGCTGTGATCATGACACTGCACTCCAGCCTGGGAGACAAAGTGAGACCCTGCCTCAAAAAAAAAAAAAAGTTCAACATTTCCTCTTATAAGGAACATCATAATTTCTTCAATGTGCAAAGTAATTTTTTTTTTGAGATAGTTTCGCTCTTGTTACCCAGGCTGGAGTACAATGGCATGATCTCGGCTCACTGCAACCTCTGCCTCCTGAGTTCAAGCAATTCTCCTGCCTCAGCCTCCCCAGTAGCTGGGACTACAGGCACGCGCCACCATGCCCAGCTAATTTTTGTATTTTTAGTAGAGATGGGGTTTCACCATGTTGACCAGGATGGTCTCGATCTCTTGACCTTGTGATCCACCCACCTCGGCCTCCCAAAGTGCTGGGATTATAGGCGAGAGCCACCACGCCCGGCCTGATTTTTAAGACTTCATAGTGGCTGGGTGCAGTGGCTCACACCTGTAACACCAGCACTTTGGGAGGCTCAGGCAGGCAGATCACCTGAAGTCAGAAGTTCAAGAACAGCCTGGTCAACATGGTGAAACCCTGTCTCTACTTAAAAATACAAAAAAATAGCCAGGCATGGTGGTGCTCGACTGTAATCCCAGCTACTCAGGAGGCTGAGGCAGGAGAATCGATTGAGCCCAGGAAGCAGAGATTGCAGTGACCAGAGACTGTGCCATTGCACTCCAGCATGGGCAACAAGAGTGAAACTCTGTCTCAAAAATGAAAACAAAAAAAGACTTCATAGCTAATACAGCCAGTATCACCTAAATTTTCACACACAAAAAAGATGTTGGGCAGTATAAAATCCACCAACAGTTGAAATGTGTTTTAGTTTACCAGAGTTTTGTGCTTGCTGCTCAGATTCCACAAACTCCCAGCCCCAACATCGCCCCAAAAGATTTCTAAAAGCTTACCTCTGCATTGGGTGTACAAGACCGCCTGATGAATCGAGCCTCATTCCCAAAAGTCCTTGCATCAACACACATTTCTAGCCCATGAAATTTAGAGTAGAATAATACAAAAGGGTATGGTCTACAAAGAAAGAAACATTATAAGCTATTAACATTTTAGGCCAGGCGTGCTGGCTCACACCTGTAATTCCAGCACTTTGGAAGGCCAAGGCAAGTGGATTGCCTGAGCCCAGGAGATCAAGACCAGACTGGGCAACATGGCAATACTCCATCTTTACAAAAAAAAACAGGCATGGTGGCATGCTCCTGTAGTCCCAGCTACTTGGGAGGCTGAGGTGGGAGGATCACCTAAGCCCAGGAGGTCAAGGTTGCAGTGAGCCATGATCATGTCACTGCACTCCAACCTGGGTGATAGAGCGAGACTCTGTCTCAAAAACAAACAAAGGACAACATTTTAAAAATGTATAATAATCTCCTATTACTCCTCAGAGGCAAAGTGATGAAGAAAACAAGAATACAGAGTCTGAGAAACTTCTAATAGAGCGAAGCCAAGATTTGAATATAGGCAGTCTGACTCCAGAATTCACTCTTATCTTATGCTAGTTTATGCTAATGAGATTTTTACCTGTCCCATAATCTCACTTAAATCAAAGGCAATTAACCAAAGGTAGAAATTCAAATTTATTAAGATAAAAAAAGAGTGACTATTACATTTACAGGATTCATGTGATGTCTTTAGGGTTCATATTTCATGGTGCATTTAAAAGTATCTGTCTTACACCCCTGTTTCAGATCAAATCTAATGTATAATAGGGAGAAATTGTTGTGCATCTTTCATATCTTAAGTAAAAACTCAAGTTATAAACAACAAATGTTTCTGAAGGACACGGACTAAGAATGTTCTCCTAGAGATATGAACATACTTCTAGACTACAGGGAAGCAACATCTATTAGAGGATCATATTAATTCTGCACATGAATCCCAAACCAAAGAGGATTGTTGTTCTAATACCAACAAAGTGGGTGTTGAAAGTGGTGGCAATAATCTAGGACCCAGTCTAACACTGTCTAATAAAGAGGAAGGGGTTTCCCCTATGGTCACCATGGGCTTTCTCAGGTTCTGGCTTTTACGTTACAAGGAATTATTATGAGTCCCAGATGGAGATGGAAAGGGTTCCTTGTAATCTCAATCAGAGTTCCTAACTGACATTCTTATATATCTAACCTATGTTGTTGGTGTTTAATCTTTGAAGTAGATTGTTTTAGGATTTTTCAAAGACAGATATGAGCAAGAGACTGAGGAATATATCTTTGCATTTTTTATGTTGTTTTAGTTTATCATAGTTCAAAAATTCATCAGTCATTGTTCAACCACACTACAGCTTTAAATACTGAAATGAGCAAGTAGGAAAAAAGTACATAGAATCACAACATCTAGATAAAATAGCCAAAAATTCAATTATTTACCTATAGAAAATGAACATGGAAAATAAAAGAATATACCTTTTAAAGAAATATCCATTTGCTTCAAATTGTTCTCTCAGCATAAACTTCCCTCTGTATTCAATGATAAGTGCATCAGGAGGCAAATCTTTTGCAGATTTAAGAATTTTCTTATTCTTTTGTATATGGCTCTAAAATCAAAGTAAATGTAGAGATTAAAGAAACTTGCTTGCTTTCAGTTTAACTAAAAATACACAGTATAAAACTGTTTTCCAATTTTTGGACAAATGACATATTTACCTCTACAGGAGGTTTGAAGAGCAAATTGTTGGTATTCAAATCTGATTTATTCGTGTCTTTTTTGTCATTTCCATTGCCTAATCTCAGAGCTATTCTTTGCGCCTCCCTCTGAACACCCTCACTATACTGGTTGTTATTTGCTTCTTCATATCGATCCATCCATGCTTTGATTTTTGTCTCCCATCCAAAATTTGAACCATCAGATGAAGGATCAATCTCTGGAGCTGAACCCTAAAATCACAAACTGAGTATTAATATCTGAACTTACATACACACACACACACACACACCACACACAAGGGCAGTCTACATAAAAGAACATAATGTAAACAAAAAACTCCTGTTTAATGCGTTTTTTTTTTCCAGAAATGTGGAATAATAATTAAGCCTTATACCACAGAGACAAAAGATACACTGTAACATGCTCCCCACATCCTATGTAATATGACAATTTTAGAAATTTGTTATCCTTTTCTACCTAAGTCCAAAGCCTACAGTAACAGCATACAGCTGACCTCTGTGACCCAAGACAAACTTGCGTTTTGGGGTCAGACAAAAATTGCTTTTCTCAGCAATTTTAGCATCTAAAAAATTGAGGACGTATAGTAATTAATTCAAGGTAACTTTTAGCTATCATCAATTATTCTGACTGGTTTGTGTTTATATGGTTTTCTATGGTGAATTTATAGTATGACAACTGACTTGACTAACTCTCTAGAATCCCAACTATGCAAAAGAGCAAATTTTCAAGTTCCAAATGTGATTCTGCATTCCTAAGTACAGTACAGTAATACTAAGTGGTATCAGAGACATGGATTGCGAGTAATAAAATTCAAATTGCCCAAAATTATAAAATTATAAATTGCTTATATACCTCCCCCTTTTGATGACTAATATTTTAACAATGTTAGCTACAAGAGAAGCATGTAACTCCAATTAGAACTAAGGTCCCACACCTAATAATGAGCAATGACATGGCACACAATAAGAGAGCATTAGGTAATGATATGGACAAGCAAGCACTTTGCTCCCGAGTAAATGACAGTTGATAACAACACTTTAATAGTAATGTATTTACCTTAACTCTTGATGACTTCCTAGATCCTTCACGAAACGCCTAAAATAAACGTGGAATTCAAGTTATTTTTTTAAACAACTGAACATAATTAAAGAATCAACTGGTTCACTGAAACTTTTTTTTTTTTTTTGATAATAAGAGTTTTTGTATCACAGAGTTGTTAGGATTAAATGGCCTAAACTACAAAGAACAATTTCTGTCACTTAGTGAGAATTCAACAAATATTAGCTATGTGTCTGTAAAACATTTATTTCATTAACTATCTCATTAAGTCCATACTGTACTATTACTACCATAAGATCATCCACGTTCAGAGTGGTTCAATACTTCCCCTGAAGATAAGCAATTTAAGGAAAATGTTAAGAGCCACACACACACTCACTTTTTTTTTTTTTTTTTTTTTTTTTTTCAGAGAAAGAGAGGATGACGTGATGGTAGTGGTTAACTCCATAATAGAGAGAGTGGAGAAAGGATGGGTAAAGGGTATTTCTCTTTATTGGTATTATCTTTTTGTTTTTGAAAGAAAAAGAGAAAGGGGAAGAGAGAACAGGAATCTTGTTCTATTGCCCAGGCAGGAATGCAATCTAAAAATAGGTATTAAAAACCTCTTGTATGCCGATAATTGTGCTTAACAACAGAGACAGGAAGAAATAAGGGAAGAAAATAACGAACAAACAGCCAACCAGTAGTTCATTTAAGTCTGTGAAAAGCTATGCAAATGCTGAGGAGTGATTTACTTCCAATTATGTGGTGACTTTCAAAATAGGTGTAATGTGATACTGACAAAAATATATGTTCTGTCGACCTGGGGTGAAGAATTCTATAAATATTCGCTGAGTTCACTTGTTCCAGGTCTGAGTTCAAATCACAGATGTTCATGTTAATTTTCTATCTTGTTGATCTGTCGAATATTAACAATGTGGTGTCAAAGTCTCCCGCTATTATTGTGCAGGAGTCCAAGTCTCTTTATAAGTCATTAAGAACTTGTCTTATGTATCTGGGTGTTCCTATATTGGGTACATGTATATTTGTGATCATTGACTCCTGTTGTTGCATTGATCCTTCTACCATTATATAATGTCCTTCTTTGTTTTTTAGCCTTTATTACTATTAAAGTCTATTTTGTCAGAGAGGAAAGTTACAACTCATTTTTTTTTTTAATTTTGCTCTCCATTTGATTGATAAGTCTTCCACCAACCCTTTGAGTCTTTGTGTGTCCTTGCTTATAAGATGGATCTGGATACAGCATACTGATGGGTTTTGACTTTTTATTCAATTTGCCTGTCTGTGTCTTTGATTGGGGCATTTCATCCACTTAAATTTATTATTAATATTGATATTTGTGAGTTTAATATTGTCATTTAATGCTAGCTGGCTATTTTGCCCATTAGTTGATATAGATTCTTCATTATGGAGATACTCTTTATCTTTTGATACGTTTTTGGGATGACTGATACTGGTTGTTCCTTTCTGTGTATAGTGCTTCTTTCAGAAGCTCTTGTAAAGCAGGCCTGGTAGTGATGAAATCTCTGAGTGCTTGCTTGTTCGCGAAAAATTTTATTTTTCCTTCATTTATGAAGCTTAGTTTGGCTGGATATGAGATTCTGGGTTGAAAATTCTTTTCTTTGAGGATATTGAATATCCTCACTCTCTTCAAGTTTGTAGGGTTTCTGCTGAGAGATCTGCTGTGAGTCTGATAGGCTTCCCTTTATGGGTAACCTGACCTTTCTCTCTAGCTGCCCTTAGAATTTTCTACTTTATTTCAACCATGGTGAATCTAACGATTAGGTGTCTTGGGGTTGCTCTAATTGAGGAATATCTCTGTGGTGTTCTCTGTATTACCTGGAGTTGAGTATTGCCCTGCCTTACTAGGTTAGGAAAGTTTTCTTGAATAATATGCTGAAGAGTATTTTCCAGCTTGGATTCATTCTCTTCATGACATTCAGGTACACCTATCAAATGTAAATTAGGTTTTTTCACATAGTCCCATATTTCTTGGATAATTTGCTCATTTCTTTTTACTCTTTCTTCTCTAATCTTGTCTTCTCGTTTCATTTCATTAAGTTGGTCTTCGACCTCTGATATCCTTTCTTCTGCTTGATCAATTCAACTGTTAAAACCTGTGCATACCTCACGGCGTTCTCGTATTGTATTCTTCAGGTCCATTAATTCACTTATATTCCTCTCTAAATTGTCTATTCTCCATGGGATTTCGTCAAATCTTTTTTCAAGGTTCTTAGTTTCTTTACATTGGGCTAGAACATGTTCTTTTAGCTCACAGAAGTTTCTTATTATCTACCTTCTGAAGCCTGATTCTGTTAATGGAACGCACTCATTCTCCATCAGGCCTTGTTCCCTTGTTGATGATGAACTGTGATCCCCTGTAGAGGGAGAGGCATTGTGATTTGGGGTATTCTCAGCCTTTTTATGCTGGTTTCTTCCCGTCATTGTAAATTTATCCACCTGTCGTCTTTGTAATTACCGACTTTCAAATTAGGTCTCTGAGTGGACGTCCAACTTGTTGATTCCCAGCACCGGAATCTGAGCAACCCACTGTGCCGGCTAAAACAGTGGCATTAAGATTCATGGTGCTTTTTTGCCCGGGAATCTCCAGTCTGGCTTCCCTCTTGAGTCACTTTTTCAATCAGCTGAATGGGCGACTGTGCCTTCCCGGAGCTCCAAACGTCGACCAAAAGGGGACCCAGTCCCATTTACTCTGCACCAAGAACTGCCGCACCGGCCACAAGAGTCATGCTGGCAACCCGTGGGGCTCTTCCACTGGGAATCTCCTGGTCCGTGAGCAACAAAAATTCATCTGAAAGTGTGGCATCCTCTCAATTCTTTGCACTTCCACTAGGTGCTACAATCCTGAGCTGCTAGTAATCAGCCATCTTGGATATCTCTCTCCACTGAAACTTTTAACTCGTGTCATAACAAATACTCTGGAAACCAATAAAGCTGACAGTAGGAGAATGTTTAATAAACGCATTTATTAGAATACTATTCTAATAAAAATAGAATGTGGGGACACTAGGAGAATCTTTAATAAAGGCATCTAATAGAACATTATTCTAATAGAAACAGAATGTGGTTGGGAGTGGTGGCAGGCACCTATAGTCCCAGCTACTCAGGAGACTGAGGCAGGAGGAACACTGGAGCCCAGGATTTTGAGGCCACAGTACACCATGATATTCTATGAATAGACACTGCACTCCAGCCTGGGCAACATAGCAAGATCCTGTCTTTAAAACAAAACAAAACAAAACAAAACACAGCCTATATAGAATATGAAAATCTGCATATAATATGATGCAAAGACAAAAATTTCTAAATATTCTCTATGTCCAATATTACAATAGTAGAAAAATATTTCTGATAGAAATTGGGAACGTATCAGAAATATAATTTTGTTGATAAGGTTTGTTTTGGGTGGGAGTAAAATAATATTACTTTAATTCTCTAAGCAACTAGCAAGTAAAATTTGAGCCCATATGGGGCTTAAGTAATATGCACTGTGGTAAACAGAGCTGTATTTATTCAATAAATACGTAGTGAGAGCCCACTAATCTGCCAGATCCTGAAGGATGTATTTGAGACTTAATTCCTATCCCCCTCAACCCCCTAAAAAGTGTAAACTCCATTCAGAGTGACTAAGAAATATAAACCTACAGCTAGCAATATACATCGAAATAAATAAATTTGTGTGTAGACAATACGTTAGAAGAGAGTAAGGTTTAACAAAAAAAGGAGGCAAAGAACCATTATGTAAAACATGGGGTAGAAAAGCTAAGTGGACTGTTAGACAAGTGAAAGGAATACAATCCTGGTAGGCTTCCTATTTTATTTTCACTTCTACATTTCAGTGACAATCTCATTAAATGATTTCAAAGCAGTTTGCAAAGTTTCTTCTCCACTTCAGTCTTCAAAACACATTAAAATTTTCTAGTAAGTTTAATTGTTTAAAAATAAAAAACTTGCTAGATCCTGCCACCTCTTTAGCAGCCATCAACTATTCTCACTCTCCTGCCTCTCCTATAAAATTCAGCTCCCCACCCACTATCCTATCCACTCACCTAAAAACAAGCAAAAACATACCTTTTTACATTTTGAAATGTGTTGTTCTTTCTCCCCACTTTTTTTCCTTCTTTTATCATTAACTTTGGAAACTCTAGAAGCAGTTAAAGTAATTGATGTTGGAGTATGCTGAAATGCAGTATATAATTCCATAGGAACCTCATCACCACTCTCAGTTGCACTGGTATCACCATCTTCAAAGACAAAATAAAAATTATTGCACACTTAACATTTCTATTTTAAACAATGAAATAATCATATCACAAAGTACTGTCATCTCCATTTTTCTAAATAAGCACTTTAACTTGTTCACTCATCTCACTTACATATTTAAATACAAATCACAAATATGATTTCTCACACATTAAACTAGAAAGGATCCAAAAGTCGTAACACACTCTAGTGGTGTGCCTGTGGGAAACAGGCACTCTCATACACTACTAGTGGAAATTTGAAATTCCCCACAAAGGGCAATTCAGCCATATCTAGGAAAATTATATATGTACACACCCTCTGACCCAGCCATCCCATTATTAGAGATCTAGCCAAAGATAAAACAGCAAAAGTACAAAAAAACTTATGCAAGAGTCTTGCTGAGGATACTGTTTTTAATAACAAAAATAAAACAAAACAGAAATAATGAAAACAATCCAAATCTCCATCAAAGAGGAACAGTTGAATAAATTATGATTATTCAAAACCAAGTGTGCTGGCATCAACATGATTAAGTGCCAAGTGAGGTGGCTCATGCCTGTAATCCCAGCACTTTGGGAGGCAGAGGTGGGCGGATCACAAGGTCAGGAGTTTGAGACTAGCCTAACATAGTGAAACCTCGTCTCTACTAAAAATACAAAAATTAGCCAAACATGGTAGCACATGTCTGTAGTCCCAGCTACTCTGGAGGCTGAGGCAGGAGAATCGCTTGAACCCAGAAGGCAGACGTTGCAGTGAGCTGAGATCTCGCCACTGCACTTCAGCCTGGGCAACAGAGCAAGACTCCATCTCAAAAATAAATAAATAAATAAATAAACAAACAAACAAACATGATTAAGCTCAAATAAAAACTGTGGCATATGTTACACAGAAGTTAGAAAATTCTGTTCCTAAAACTGAAAGATGTACTAATACACATGATAAACTAATGGATCACTATCTTTCTGAAGAACAAACATATTTTACTTTTTTAAACCAACAGGTTAGCTATGTGTAAAAAAATTATGGCTGACTTAAATACTTTATTTTCCTCTTGTTTCCATTTTATTTCCCCAAATAAGTACATATTTATTCTATGTGAAAAGAAATACTTAAAATCTATACCAGAGATTGCACACTATATGTACAATCAACACTTATCAACAAGGTATTTATATTTAACTGAAAATATGCAGACCATTGAGAGAATTCTCAATCACATGAATCTTAATTTAGTATAGGTCCTTTTTACCTACCTGACATATTTTCCCTTTTCCGGCGTTGTAGTAGCACTGCCCTCTCTTTATCCAAATTCCTACATTAAAAAATCAGCATGATTATCAAATATATATAAATTTGAATATGAAGTAGATCTGTCTTAAATGTGATGAACTTTGTAATTTATTTAATATTCTCAGTGAAAAACCAACAGTATAAAATATATACAGTATCCCTTGCAATACAGTTTATATACAATCTAATAATAATAGCAGTAGATGCCAGATAGGTGACTCAATTTTTTTTCAGACAGGGTCTCACCCAGGCTGGAGTGCAATGATGTCATCACAGTTTGTTACAGCCTCAACCTTCCAGGTCGAAGTGATCCTCCCACCTCAGCCTACTGAGTAGCTAAGAGTACAGGCCTGAACCACCATGCTCAGCTAATTCTGTAATTTTTTGTAGAAATGGGTTGCCCAGGCTGGTCTTGAACTCCTGGATCAAGTGATCCTCCCACCTCCAGCTCCCAAAGTGCTGGGATTACAGGTGTGAGCCACAGTGAATGGCCAAGAAAATAATGTTTTACCTATGAAACTAGTATTTTTTTCAAATAGAATAAAGCAAATGTCTGGGGAAAAAAAAAACTCGTAAGGTTAACAATGTAATTAAAATCACAAATTGGATTTCTTAAAGTAAATGTATGACACTGAGTTAGAAAGCTATTCCATTATTACCACTGCCTTTAAATATTTTCACTTTTGAAATAAATACTGAACTTTTTTTTTTTTTTTGAGACAGAGTTTTGCTCTTGTTGCCCAGGCTGGAGTGCAATGGCATGATCTTGGCTCTCTGCAATATCTGCCTCCTGGGTTCAAGTGATTTTCCTGCCTCAGCCTCCTGAGTAGCTGGGATTACAGGCACGTACCATCACTCCCAGCTAATTTTGTATTTTTAGTAGAGATGAGATTTCTCCATGTAGGTCAGGCTGGCCTTAAATTCCCGACCTCAGGTGATCTACCCTCCTCAGCCTCCCAAAGTGCTGGGAGCATTTAACAATTAAGTGAAATAGTTCATTACTCTCTCCCTACCTCTATCCATGAACTACATCATCTACAGTAATTCTTTTACTTTTTCCCCCCTAACTTTTTCATTGTATGTAGTTTAGAAGTCAGACAGTAAATTATTCTCAGGCGGGAAAATAAGAGCTCTAGATTATCAATGTCTTCATACTTGGCTTAATGTCTACCAGGAAATGTAACTATTCTACCATCATGGATAATTATCCCAGCTATCACAGAATAATAAACATACCTCTCTCAACTAACTGCCCTTCTAATGGTAAGTTTTTAACCAAATTTTACTGACTCCATCATCAGATTATTTACCCCATCAAATATTATCTGGCAAAGGGCTAATAATTATCATAAAGTGAAACAAAACCACATAGAAACACCTCACTCAAAGTTACAGAAATGCACAGTGTAACTATGCTGAGGTTACAATTTCTCACCTAATTAAACTGGCAAAAATGCAAGTCTGCCAAATAATCTGTTGTGAGGCTTGGGAAAGCAGGTATGCTTATGTATTACTCTTTGGAATTCAAACCTGCACAGCTCCTACTGGAAGGGAATTTGACAATCTAACAAAATTTTATATATATGTTTATCGTTTTACTGAACAATCTCACTTCTATTTATAATAACAAAAGACCTGAAACAACTCGAATGTCCACACAAAGGCAACTTGTTAAATAAACTAGAGTACATAAAAGATAAAGTATATTGAAGCTGTATCAGTCAATGTTTATATACTATTGTGATCTTCAGCATATTATTTTTAAGAAAAAAGAAATGTGAAGACTCTATAATATGCTACTGCTTATCTAAATAAGGAGGAAAAGACAAATATATAGGTGCATACCTACATATAATAAGCAAGAAGGGATGAGTTAGACTTAACTTGCTTTATATATTGTCTATGTGCTTTACTTGACTTTAGAATGATACTTTGCTTTATATATTTGACTTCAAGTTTCACTTGCTTTATATATTGACTTTAGAATAACAGATTATTTCTTAAAGTATATAATTATAAAGGTGAATTAAATATAAAAAACAATTCTTTTTTTTTTTTTGAGACAGAGTCTCCCTCTGTTGCCCAGGCTGCAGTTCAGTGGCGCAATCATGACTCATTGCAGCCTCAACTTTCTGGGCTCAAGCAATCCTCCTGCCTCACTTTCCCAAATAGCTGGGTCCACAGACACATACCATCACACCCAGCTAATTTTTGCCTTTTTTTTTTTGAGACAAAGTCTTGCTCTGTTGCACAGGCTGGAGTGCAGTGGCACAATCTCAGCTCACTGCAACCTCAGCCTCCCAGGTTCAAGTAATTCTCGTGCCTCAGCCTCCTGAGTAACTGGGATTACAAGCACCTGCCACCATGCCTGGCTAATTTTTGTATTTTTTTTTTTGTAGCAATGTTTTCTTGCCATGTTGCCCAGGCTGGTCTCAAACTCCTGACCTCAAGTGATCCAACTGCCTCGGCCTCCCAAAATGCTGGGATTATAGGTGTGAGCCACCAGGCCCAACCAACAATTCTTAAAAAAAACAAAATTATTGATTACTCCTACATTTCCAGTAGACATATGAAATGAAATAGCCATTCTGAAAAACAGTCTGACAATATCTTATATATCTAAACATGCAACTATCATATAACCAAGCTGCTGTTCTTCCTGAGCATTTAACTGGAGTGGCGGGGGGAGGACTTTGGTTCACACAAAAAGCTGTAAACAAATGTTCACAGAAACTTCATTTGTCATAGCCAAAAAAGTAGAAACAACCCAAGTGGCCTTCAATGAGTGAGTAGGCTAAACAAACTATGGTACACATATACCATGAAATACTATCAGCAATAAAAAACAAAATCTTAACACATCCAACAAACTGGAGGGCTCTCTAGGGAATTATGTTGGATAAAAAAAATCAATCCCAAAAGGTCATATACTGGGTCACATACTCTATGACTTCATTCATGTAACATTCTTGAAATGACAAAATTATAGAAATGGATTACAGAATAACAGTTGGCAAAGTTCAGGGGTAGGAGGTAGGTATGACTAAAAGGGCAGCATGACTCCTGTCACTGATAGAAATGTTCTATAAAGTGACTATGTTAATGTCAATATCTTAGTTGTGATATTGTATTAATAGTTATATAAAATGTTACCACTGGGGCAAACTAGGTAAAAGATATATAGGCTCACTCTACAATATTTCACAACTGCATGTGAACCTACAACTCAGAACATTTAATTTTTTAAAAATTCAGTAACATTAATAACCTAAACAATGTAAGTGTATCCAGTTGGTGTTACAAACACACAATTATTTTCAAGAGACTTAAAACTCAATATTGACTATAAAACCCTTGTATACTATGTCCTATGGAGGGAGAAGTTCTAACCTGTTTTACACAATCATATTGTTGGTGGTAGGACTTGAAATGTGCAGACATGTATAGATTTCCTCTGTCAACAGGTAACTACTGTATTCTTTATGTATGACTAAACAGTTAATCAATTATGTGACACTCTAATTGCATTATTCTGTGTATTGTTGACAACTAGGATAAAAGGAAATAACATGAAACAACTACATAAAAATTTGTATTACTAAATTTCAATTGCAATTATCAGTATAAACTCATGTATTTTACCTTAAAGAAACAGATGCAACATACTTCCTAGATTTGTCTACTAACCTAGAACAGTAACCAATACAGTTATAACAAGCTTTCCAATTCTGGCCTTGAAAGCCAACTATGAATTTGGGGCACGGAAGTGTAGGATAAGCCTAAAACATCTTGTAATACCAGATAATTTCTTTGCCATCAACTACCACTAGAGTACTATTTAAAGGACTTGCTAACGAGCTTGAAGAGGTTCCTACTGATCAGAAATTGAATAAAATTAAACATCAGTAAGTATAACAACTGCAACAGACAGACATCCACTATGGTTTAAATCCATGAGTTCACAATGATACTTAATTTTTCGTTATTCTGAAAACTAGTAAATAAAGGCTAAGACTCAACAAGCATTTTTCCTGCCTTTCTTCAGTGAAATATATCTTAAGAGAACTGAACAGTTAATACACAGGCACGACTGGGCAAGGTCGCACTCGACTGTAATCCCAACACTTTGGAAAGCCAAAGTGGGAGGATCACTTGAGCCCAGGAGTTCCAGACCAGCCTGTACAACATGGTGAAACCCTATGTCTACAAAAAAAAAAAAAAAAAAAATACAAAAAGCTAGCCAGGCATAGTGGTGATGCCTGTAGTCCTAGTTACTTGGCAGGACAAGGTGGAAGGATGAGAGGATTGCCTGAGCCCAGGAGGCCGAGGCTGCAGTGAGCTGTGGTCATACCACTGCACTGGAGCCTGTGTGACAAAGTGAGACCCTGCCTTAAAAAAAGAGACAGAAAAGTTTGTTCCTATAGAAACATTCCAGCTGAAAGGCCAGGTGCAGTGGCTCCTGCCTGTAATCCCAGCACTTTGGGAGGCTGGAGCGGGCAGATCACGAGATCAGGAGTTTGAGACCAGCCCAACCAACATGATGAAACCCTGTCTCTACTAAAAATACAAAAATGAACTGGGCAAGGTAGTGCATGCCTATAATCCCAGCTACTCAGGGGGCTGAGGCAGGAGAATCACTTGAACCTGGAGGCAGAGGTTGCAGTGAGCCAAGACTGTGCCATTGCACTCCAGCCTAGGTGACAGAGACTCTCACAAAAAAAAAAAAAAAAAAAAAAAAGAAATATTCCAGCTGATAAGTAATGAACAACAGAATTAACTTATCACTAATTTGCAACCCCTAGTAAATTAGTGGATCTAAGGTAGTTGGTCTAAGGACTATCGCTGGCTCCCATGATTAGACAACCAGAAATTATGCGCCACCTGAAAGGACAACACAATCTAACTATGAAATAGTCTTATAAAAAAAAAAGGGAAAAGGAAATTGAACCTAAATCTGATGAAGCCTACAGACAGAAACACCTTCTTACAGAAACAGAGAGGACAGAGAAACTTGTGAAATCATGAGAATACAACTGGCAAAACTCATCAGGACAAACGGCTGAGTTCCTCATACACACACACACAGTAAAGGTGGCTGGGGTGGTAGGGAGGGAGGAGTAGGTTTAGAGACTTAAGAGATGAATATCAACCAATCAATAGCCTAACAATCACTGGATGAGCCAGAGATTTTGTTGCCTGTATAATAATGGTTTTGTGGGTTTTTCTTCTTTTTTACATTTTTTGAGACAGGCCCTCACTGTCACCCAAGCTGGAGCACAAGTGGCATGACCATGCCTCACTGCAGCCTTGAGATAAAAAGCTCAAACCATCCTCCCACCTCAGCCCCACAGGCAGCTAGAACTAGAGGTGATAACACCACACCTGGCTCATCTTTTATATTTTTAATAGAGACAGGATTTCACCATGTTGCCCAGGCTGGTGTTGAACTACTAGGCTCTCACGATCCAACTACCTCAGCCTCCCAAAGTACTGGGATTACAGGTGTGAGCCACCTTGCCTAGCCATTTTGTGATTATTTTTGTTAAAAGAATTATTTTGGGCTGGGCGCAGTGGCTCAAGCCTGCAATCCCAGCACTGTGGGAGACCGAGGCGGGTGGATCACGAGGTCAAGAGATCGAGACCATCCTGGTCAACATGGTGAAACCCTGTCTCTACTAAAAATACAAAAAAAATTAGCTGGGCATGGTGGCGCGTGCCTGTAATCCCAGCTACTCAGGAGGCTGAGGCAGGAGAATTCCCTGAACCCAGGAGGTGGAGGTTGCGGTGAGCTGAGATCACGCCATTGCACTCCAGCCTGGGTAACAAGAGCGAAACTCCATCTCAAAAAAAAAAAAAAAGATTTTACAGATATATAATGTAATATATATACACAGAAACACACATGTACTGAAATATATGTGGATAAAATAATATGATATCTGGGATTTGCCTTAAAACAACATACATGTAAAGGGAGAAGAAACATATAGCAGTATAGATGGAACAAGTAGGTCGATTATTACTGAGGTAGGGTGGTAGAAACGTGGGTTCATTACATATTATTTTTACGTAAGTTTGAAATGTCCAGAATAAAAAGATTTTTAAAAACAAAGAAGAAATGTAGAAAAAGGCCAGGCGCGGTGGCTCACGCCTGTAATCCCAGCACTTTCGGAGGCCCAGGCAGGTGGATCATGAGGTCAAGAGATAGAGACCATCCTGGCCAACATGGTGAAATAGAAAACACACACACAAAAAAAGAGACTGGGTTTTGCTCTGTCACTGTCACCCAGGCTGGACTGCAGTGGCACAATCAAAGCTCACTGCAGCCTTGAACTCCTGCGCTCAAACAATTCTCCTGCCTCAGCCGTCCAAGTAGTTGGCACTACAGGCAAGAGCTACCATGTCTGGCTGTGATTCATTAATTCTTTAAGCCTGAATTCATAAAGGAGTTTTTGTTAACTGGTATTACATTAGTAAAATTACTGGCAATGTTATCAGATACGTGCAACTTACCTAGGCTGACAACGTTCACACAGGTATGTATCAGGAATATGCTGCCTATCAATCCCCATGCAGTCAATATGTTGCCAAACACTTAAAAAAGAAGCAGAACATATGTAATATTATTAAAGTCATCCTTAAATTAAGATTTGATATTCCATTTAACTATCATTTAATAAGCACCTACTTTGAGCTTAGTACTCTTACAAGGTACTCTGAGAAATTCATAGAAATGTGTCTTCAAGGAGATAAAATTTCGAGATGTAAAAGCAAGAGGACAAACGTAGGATATATAAATTTTTAAAGCAAATACAATTTTTAAAATATAAAATATATAATTTTTTCTACAAATATTATTAGAAATCACAAAGTAGAGATGCCCACACTACTTGTAGTTAATGAGAAAAGCACCTTGGAGAATAATGAACTTGAACTGAATCTCATTTGGGAAATATTAAGAAAAGGTATCAGTGTAGCAACATTTATCAAATATCATTTATCAAATATGAAGAGAGGATGGCCACAAGGTGCTCAACATATGTGAAGAGAAATACTCATTTTGAGGAATAGAAGGTTGTTAAAAACGGATTTAGTGCAGCCGGGTGCGGTGGCTCACACCTGTAATCCCAGCACTTTGGGAGGCTGAGGCGGGTGGATCATGAGGTCAAGAGACTGAAACCATCCTGGTCAACATGGTGAAACCCTGCCGCTACTAAAAATACAAAACATTAGCTGGGCATGGTGGCGCGTGAGTAATCCCAGCTACTCAGTAGGCTGAGGCAGGAGAATTGCTTGAACCCAGGAGGCGGAGGTTGCGGTGAGCCGAGATTGTGCCATTGCACTCCAGCCTGGGCAACAAGCGCAAAACTCCGTCTCAAAAAATAAATAAATAAATAAATAAATAAAATAAAATCGAATTTAGTGAAGTACGGTCAGATTATTTAGGACTTGAAATGTGCAGATGTGTGTAGATTTCCTCTTTCAACAGGTAACAATCAGAGGTGCTTTGGTGGCATGTAGTAATTATTCAAAGAAGAAACTAGAAACAGAAAGATCAACTAAAAAGGCGTTTCCAACATTCCACACTTGAGTTAAAGGAAGACAGAACCAGAATAACGCCAAAGAAAAATAAGTTAAAGAATATAAGAGGCATTCTATGAGAACAGAGATTAAACCTAATTACTTTTAATGGAATACATGGACCAGTTTGAGGCAAATTTCTCAATTTGGTTATTATTGTATTTTACTGCCAAGACTAATTGGTCTAAAGTTGATGTATATGCCTGATTCCAAAAATAGTCTTAGCTATTATTTACATAAGAATAAGTTACTTCTGGCTGGGCATGGTGGCTCATGCCTGTAATTCCAGCACTTTGGGAGGCCAAGGAGGGTGGATCACACGGTCAAGAGATCGAGACCATCCTGGTCAACATGGTGAAACCCCGTCTCTACTAAAAATACAAAACATTAGCTGGGCATGGTGGTGCGTGCCTGTAATCCCAGCTACTTAGGAGGCTGAAGCAGGAGAATTGCCTGATCCCAGGAGGCGGAGGTTGCGGTGAGCTGAGATCGCGCCATTGCACTCCAGCCTGGGTAACAAGAGTGAAACTCCATCTCAAGAAAAAAAAGAATAAGTTACTTCTAATATATAACTACAGTAGCTTCCCCCTTATCCATTGGTTTGCTTTTTGTGGTTTCATTTACCTGTGTTCAATCACAGTCTGAAAATATTAAGATATTTTCAGGAAGTTGGGGGGGGGCGGTGGAGAAAGACAAAGACCACGTTTACTTTTTTTTTTTTTTTTTTTGAGACAGAGTCTTGCTCTGTCACCAGGCGCCAGGCTGGAGTGCAGTGGCGGGATCTCGGCTCACTGTAACCTCCACCTCCCGGGTTCAAGCAATTCTCCTGCCTCAGTCTCCTGGGTAGCTGGGACTACAGGTGCACGCCACCATGTACAGCTAATTTATTTTTTGTATTTTTAGCAGAGAGGGGGTTTCACCATGTTGGCCAGGATGGTCTCGATCTCTTGACTTTGTGATCCGCCCGCCTCACCCTCCCAAAGTGCTGGGATTACAGGCTTCAGACACCGTGTCCGGCCAACCACGTTTACTTCTATTACAGTATGCTGTTATAATTGTTGTTAAACTCTTATTGCACCTACTTTATAAATTAAACTTTATCATAGGTATTTATATGTAGGAAAAAACAGTTTTTTCCTAGCATTCTCCGCAGTTTCAGGCATCTACTGGGGGTCTTGGAACATATATCCCAGGAGAAAGGAGGGACTACTGTACCAAATTAACTGCTATTGTGTTATTCTTCACTTTTCAACTGAGAATGTTGGGGCAAGAACTAACAGAATGTTAAATATATATTGAACGCGAAAAAAGAAGTCAAAAAAAAAGTAGGACAAATGACAAGCGTTAGAATAACAAATTAAATTTGTGGGGCAAGTAATGATGTCATGCAGACAACAGAACAAATAAAGCTAGAAAATGAATAAATAATAAGAGCTGTGTATGTCAGACTTCAAAGAGATGAGTATAAGTAGTAGAAACATGTAAAAACAATGAGGCAACGTAAAGTATGAATAGAGCCTTGCAGGAGACTACAGGCTGAGCAACAGAAAAACAGTAACAAATATGAGATTCATAACAAAAAGCACTCGCTGAGAGGCAAATACCTTGAATAATCCAAAAACTATGAACTGGTCCTTCAATAATTTGTAGATGGATATAAACCTAAGGACAATTTTACTATTCTCTAATAAAGATAATTGTATATTATATAGAGACCATTGCAGTTAAAAGAGAAACACTGCTACGATTATGTATTAAAATAAAAATTACATACCAAGTGGTATGTAATCTGTCACATTAGACAAGATCAGCCAAGACAAAGCTTTTTCATATGACTGGTTCCAATATAATTTGACATTTTTCTACTATGAGGAAAGCAAAATGTCACTGAAGTTATTTTTTAGTTTTAAAATTTACCTCCTGGATATATTTACTTAAGCCATTATTCATGGTAGAATATGTCATATAATGCAATTTTTTTTTTTACATTTGGAAAGGTACTATGTTTTTATTATTAAACTCAAAGTGTTAATTACAACTTTCCATAAAAATGTAAAATTTTACATTCCACTTAACATTTGAATTTCTAATTTTTTGGCAAGAGTAAGCAAACTTTTTGAAACATAATCCTAACTGCATGTTTGTATCAACAATATTCAACTCCAAATCACCTAATCTAATAGATAGGGATAATATTACAAATAATGCAAAGTAATATTTGGCTTTAGGGTACATTTTTATACTCACATGCAAATATGGGTATATAGCCATACTACATCACATCAAATAATTAAGCTACACCATGATGACCAGAGCCAGGAAATTCTGTAAAGCTCCTAAACTTTCTTGCTTTCTACAACGCACTGCTTAAGTACTCTCTCCTTCCCACCCTATGCAGGGGATAAACTCAGTAACTTTCAGGCTGAAATCCTACTGTTCCCTCTTCTCCCTCCCCAATTCCTTCCCCCTCCCATTAAAAAAAAAAAACAGGAAAAAAAAAATGAAACAAAACCCCACTTTCTGTCCCAATCACACCTTCTCTAGGGGAGGAGGCCTTTCTTGGTGGCTGAACCAGGGTTGGGGGAGGGGAGACTGTGGTTCTGGTTCAAGGAGACTCCAGAGTGCTGCAAGGTTCAAGTCAAAAGGAGGTGAAAGAGTCAGGTCAAACAAACATCAATCAAAATGTTTAATTCCCCCAAACTGGAAAATCACAGTTGACTATATAAGCACAAATTATTCCAAAGGAAATACGAAGGACTCAATTTTCTCATTTCTATCTTGTCTACTGCTAGATTTATGTACTTGTACTACTACTGAACTAAGTAAAAAGAAAAATGTGATCCTACATGAATAAAGTGCAGAACTGACTGTCTATTACTCAGTTAACAACAGGGATTTCTAGTAAACTCATTTTTCACATGGGGACTTTTTCTAGGACTGCATAAATAGTACAAGTCCCACTTAAAATATGTATTCATTAATTCCCTTGAAAGTGACTTTAGTTATCTTTTCCAATATTACCAGTCAAAGGTTATTAGCATTCAAGAAAAATAAAATGGTGTAAAATATTTTACCTGCATTTGTCACAACAGATCATGTATCCATCATCATGTGTAAAACCACATATGCACCTGGTTACATCAGTACCATAACTTCCATCCTCAGATGTGCTGATTGTAGTAGCACTAGAAGTTTCATCAAAATTAGGAGTGGTAAATATGCCTACTTCATTTTTGCTAATAAGAACTGATGGAGGAGGGGAAGCCGGAGGTGTTGGAGGAGGACGAGCACCATAATTATGGTCCTGAATAATTAAACACAAATATAGCACAATATTATTTAATTTCAACAATGATATGAACCAAGCACTTAAATAAAATTCGACCCTTAATTTCAGTACTGAAAAGGTATGAGATTGGCTCATTCCTTCCTTAATACTATTAAAAAAATGACTTGGTGAAGCCAGATATTAAACCACAGTAGTAAGTGAATATATCTATCTACAAAGTGGGAGTGGTCGCTTTGACATTCGAATTTCATTCCCTCCCTACCAAATTGTATCTTCACAGTTCTCACATGGCTGCACCTCCAAAATGAAAGAGGGTGTTAAGATGTGAGCATAGAAGTGTTAAAAAAAGAAAGAAAGAAAAGAAAAACACACATCTCAGAAATTTGGAGTCTAAAGAATAACAAAATGACAAATCATGTATCACTATTAAGTATATAATATAGAGGTTTTATTAATTTGGTAATTTTTATTCTGGTCCAAGTAGTAAACATCTCTCATAATTCTACCTCCATAGTATCACAAATGTGTCATTATAGAATTACTTTTGAATTTAAACACTGCCTCTTACTAGCTATGCAATATTTAATAAGTTAGATAGGCTTTCATTTTCTCACCTATGAAATAAGAGATGAAAACTACATCTCATGAAGTTGTTTTTAACGATTAAATAATATATATCTGACACATAATAAGTGTCCAATAAACGGTAACTATATAATTCAAAACTAAAAATTAAAAAATTAAAACAAAAAATTAAGTACTATATAATTCAAAAATAATAGTAGGTAGTACAATACAACCTTATCTCCATTCTTTTAGGAAGTAAAAAAATATAATATCAAACTATTAACAGCATAAATTGCAAAATAATAAGAGAAACTCTTCACTTTTACAGACCTTTAATCCCTTAATGGTTAATGAAAAATTAAACACCTAATTATTTTGATAGAATGAAACAACCATGCTTTTTAAACATGCAGTTTTAAGCATAATGCCGCACACATCTACTTTCTTGATTTTTTAAATTATTTATTTATTTTTATTTTAGTTTAGTTTTAAAGACGAGGTTTCACCATGTTGGTCAGGCTGGTCTTAAACTCCCGACCTCAGGTGATCTGCCCGCCTTGGCCTCCAAAGTGCTTGGATTACAGGCATGAGCCACCACGCCTGGCCACACATCTACTTTCAATCTCTAAATTTAAAAATATTTTTTCAGAGAAATGTTTAACACTTACCGCATAGGGCAAACCAATGTAACTGTGTGAATGATGTGAGCTGCTGGTATATAACTGGTGGGGATAACTGTTGGATTTCTCAACTACCACAGGGCTAGCTTCTACGGATTCTGGTCTGGAGGAAAAAAGTTGCATCAAAGAGAATTCCATTCATTTTTTAAAAATCAATTTAATTAAAACGGTGAGGTACTTATACTAAAATATTGGCTATACGAATACAGTATCTACTTACAGCAGGGAGATGCACTGTAGTTAAGCTATATCCCATCTAGATTATGTGTCATAACCAAACTTCTGTTCAAGTAAAATAAATGTCCCACTCCAAGTTCAAATATAGCTTCTCTCTCTCATTAAAAAAAATTACTAGAGGCCAAATATTATTTAGTAAACCCCATGGCACTGAGAAAACTAAGCAAAGGAGTGCAAAGAAGTAGTAGAAATAATTTAAGCAAGACTACAATACACTCAATCTATATGGACCTCAAGTGGAATCTGAAGTATGCATTTCAGCGTTCAAAAATAAAATGCATGTGTTGAGTGTGAACATAACAGAGTCTTGGAAATGTCAGTAAACTTAAGGAATAGAAAGTTTCACAATAAACCAGGATTTATAACTAAAAAACATAAACAGCAGCCTGTCAGATGAACAATTCTGGTCTCAGATGATGGAGACTGACCAACTACTGACTCAACAATTTGCTCACTGTTGTTGACTTACAAACTCTCTGGCCTAGCATTTTACATACCTCAATTTCCTAACTTCTTTACTCATACCAATCCTTCTGAGCTCTACCTGATGAATTCCTACTGATCAATGAGGTTGTAAACCTACATCTGAGGTCAGTTCACACTGTAATTAATCTCTCCTTTGCACATACTCAATAACATGATTTGTTTCTGTGCCTTTATTTTACAATACTGTAACATCACCTGACATAATTTTTTCATGACAATCTTTATCCTACCTCCTATTCAAAACTTCCCCTTAGAACTTAGTACTATTTGGACTAGTATTCGGTTTTACAATTTTTGTTGGTTACACTCTGATTAGTCATAAGACTGGCAGCATAAAAAACAATATTTATAGTCAACTGCTTCTTAATATACTGTCCTCCCTTCACAAAGTCTCAATTTAGCTCTCAGTGGCTGCTGCTGTGAGCCCTGTGTGACAGAATCAGCAAAAAGAGGAGATACAAACTGAGGTTGTTGAATGGTTCTAAAGAAGATTGCAAAGAGCCTCCAATATGTTCTGAATACAGTCATGATTTGCTTAACATTGGAGATACATTCTGAGAAATACATCATTAGGTGATTTCACCGTAATGCGAACATGACAGTATGTACCTTACACAAATCTAGGCGGTATAGCCTACTACACACCTAGGCTAAATGGTATAGCTATTGCTCCTAGGCTACAAACCTATACAGCATGTTATGCACAGATACTGTAGGTAACTGTAATACAATGCTAAGTATTCTGTATCTAAACATATCTAAACATAGAAAATAGGGGTTAGGTGTGGTGGCTCATGCCTATGATCTCAACACTTTCGGAGTCTGAGATAGGAGGGTCACTTAAAGCCTGGAGCTCAGTAGGTTGGGCAAGATACCAAAACCCCATCTCTACAAAAATTAAAAGTAAACTAGCCAAACATGGTGGCACAAGTCTGTAGTCCTAGCTACTTGGGAGGCTGAGGTGGGAGAACTGGCTGGGGCCAGAAGTTGGTTACAGTGAGCTATGATCATCCCACTGCACTCCAGCCTGGGCAGCACAATGAGACTCTGTCTCTAAAAAGAGGGGAAAAAAACATGTACAGTAAAAGGACAATATAAAAGATAAAAAAAGAGTACACCTGTAGAAAGAAGCTCCAATATAATTTTATATGACCACCATTGTATATGTGGGTCTGGTGTTGACTGAAATGTTGTTGTGTGCACATGACCATACTTTGAAAACCAATATTCACCTGTAATCCCAGCACTTTCGGAAGCCGAGGCAGTGGATCACGAGGTCAGGAGTTTAAGACCAGCCTGGCCAACATGGTGAAAGCCCGTCTCTACTAAAAATACAAAAGTTAGCTGGGAGCAGTGCCAGGCACCTGTAATCCCAGCTACTGGGGAGGCTGAGGCAAGAGTATCACTTAAACCCGGGCCAAGAGGCTGCAGTAAGCAGAGATCGTACCATTGCACTTCAGCCTGGGTAACAGAGTAAGGCTCTGTGTCAAAAAAAAAAAAAAAAAGAAAAGAAAACCAATATTCAGCTAATGTCTATGCTGTTACATCAAGAATTCACTTATTCATTATTTTAAAAGAAATGTTTAATTTCAAAATTAATACATGCTCATTATAGAAAATCTAAATATAGCAGTAATAAGGAAGCGAAAGACAATGTTCCCACCCAACTCCCAAACATTCCCATGTTAATATCACAGAGTATCCTTGCCTAAACTTTTCTACGTATCAGTATAGCTACATAATTTTTGCTGTTTAAAATCTGAAAATATCCTCCATATATTCATGACTTACTTTTTCCATCTTTAAATGTCAACATACCTACTTGATTCTTGGTAATAATTGCTTATTTTATTATATGAATATAAATTTATTTAACAATTTCCCCTACTGGTAGATACTGACATTATTTCTATTTTTTAACCATTGAAAGTATTACTGCAAATGTACATCCATTAATGTTTTCTTCATACATGGTAGTATTTCTATAACATGAATTCCTGAAAGTAATGCTGAATAAAAGGGTAAATGTACATAAAACTGATGGATACTACCAAATTGCCTTTGATTACAATAGTGACACTTTAGAAAATAGAAATAATGTCAGTATCTACCAGTAGGGGAAATTGTTAAATTTATATTCATATAATAAAATAAGCAATTATTACCAAGAATCAAGTAGGTATGTTGACATTTAAAGATGGAAAAAGTCATGAATATATGGAGTATATTTTCAGATTTTAAACAGCAAAAATTATGTAGCTATACTGATACATAGAAAAGTTTAGGCAAGGATACTCTGTGATATTAACATGGGAATGTTTGGGAGTTAGGTGGGAACATTGTCTTTCACTTCCTTATTACTGCTATATTTAGATTTTCTATAATCTTTAAAAATTACATAGAAGGAAGAAATGAAGTTTTAGCAATGATTTACAATACTATTACTAAAGCAACATGTAGGAACTGTGACCAGAGCACAAAGATTCACCCTTAAAAATTTAGATCAAACTCTGCAAAATATGTCACTAAAAGGTGTGGACCAAACTTGGATATTTTGAAGTAGCCAAAGGTTAGGAACAAAATAAAACTTTCAGTGCAAATGCAGATAAATTTAAACATGTAAACCTGTCACAAATGTTTTGTATAATTTCATGATTCAAATTAAAGCTGCAGCACTGACGAGCTGGCAATGCAAGAAAGCAGAATTAAAAATTATTAAAATCTTCATGTCTAATGCATGTACAGTAGTACCCCCTTATCTACAGGGAATATATTCCAACCAAGACCCCAAGTGGATGCCTGAAAGCATAGATAGTATTGAATCCAATTGCTTCCAAGTAGAACACATTTCTGTTAATGCTCTCCTTATCTAAAAATTAATGCAATTTCCATCTTAACTAAGCAATTGTGGCCATAACTTTTGCAGTTTCAGGTTCAAAAGCAAAACCAGGATGAATTTCTTTTTCCTTCTTCCCAAATTTAAGGATAGAATTGTTATATTTCTAAGTATTATACTTCATAATTATTTATAGAAGTGTTCTATAATTATGTATCAAAACATAATCCACAATGCAGTGTTCATCCTACAGAAAAATGAGACTTCACTTACATAACTTTGATATCTTACTCTTCAGTTAGAGAGTGAAGAACTTATATAGTGGTTTATACTCATTCATATACCGCTTTCTATATGCCTTTTTCTTTTTAACCTGTCAGCAGGAAATATGTGTATGTTCTAAAATCACTGGATCTAAAGGATTTTCTCTTTATCCATGGGAAATTTCCCAAAAGATATTCATTTCATACTCCAAGAATTCAAAATGTTCAAAAATTTTCAAAATGGTCAAAAATAAACTACATTTACTTTTGCACCAAACTTGTAGCAGGTAATGAAATTATTCCCAATATATAAGCAATAAGGTATGGTCAAAAACACCGTAATTTATAAATGAAGTCACTTTTTCAAAACTCTGAATTCTGTTGCCAGCAAGTAGAATAACTGAAATGCATAAAAGGGGATTCTAACATGTGACCTGGCTCTAAAACTAAAATGGTAAGTATATTCTCGTTAATGAAGAAGCCAATAATTAGGTGCTAACTGCTTCTTTTTTTTTTTTTTTTTTTTTTGAGACGGAGTTTCGCTCTTGTTACCCAGGCTGGAGTGCAATGGCGCAATCTTGGCTCACCGCAACCTCCGCCTCCTAGGTTCAGGCAATTCTCCTGCCTCAGCCTCCTGAGTAGCTGGGACTACAGGCACGCGCCACCATGCCCAGCTAATTTTTTGTATTTTTTTTTTAGTAGAGACGGGGTTTCACCATGTTGACCAGGATGGTCTCAATCTCTTGACCTCGTGATCCATCCACCTCGGCCTCCCAAAGTGTTGGGATTACAGGCTTGAGCCACCGCGCCCGGCCCAACTGCTTCTTTTAGAAATTTCTCAACAGCTAAAAAATGCAGAAGGAATAAATAAATCAGGAAAATAACTAAACTGCAACCCTTAAGAGGTTATAGATCTAGGCAACAAATAACTATGGATGCTAAAACTCTGAGGTAAAAGGTTGATAGGTAGATAAAATGACAACAACTGAATCTGTTGATCCTTATTATTATCATTAAGGAGTTAGACAACCAAGCTTTATTTGCCTCTCCTAATGCTAAGTGATAGGAAGTACGTAGTCCCACCTATAAAATATACCAAAGAAGGAAAAAAAAAAGAGGAAAGGAAAGAAAAAGAACAGAACTTGAAGCTAATTATATCTCTAAATCCAAATACCAGTTTATCAGAAATATGGAGGAAGTAGAATATTACATGATACCAGAAGGAAGCAATCAGCCCACTCCAGAAAGTTAAAACGTCTACAAGCCAAATTTTCCAGTTTC